AAAGATAACTGATGAAAATTATGAAAAGATTATGAATCATGTTTATAAATATGATCGCAAATTCCAACAAATCGGACTTCCTGCCAAATTAATTACAAGCTTAGCCGCTACATCTGCTGACGCAACAGTTGATGACGTTATTATTTCATGCACAAAGATGGAAGTTTTAGAGGATAAATGCATTACACCAGGATACGGTTTAATTGAAGAATCAGTTAAAGCAATACCACGTTTATTCAGTAAGGAAGATCCATTCATGATTCCAGCTCAACATATTGACGTTCGTTCACTAAATGGAGGTTGCATCACTCCTGAAGGTATTAGCTCAGATTTCTCATACGCTCTTCATAATGTTACAGATGTTGTGTTAACATTTCCGAAGAATGCAATGCAAAGAACAGTTTTAGAAAATCCAATGCTTCGAGGTCTTCAGGTCACTATAGATTCCAGAAACTTCCCCGATCAAGCGATGACCACAGTGGGTGATATATTCTTTACACGTATGCTTCAAGCTTCTGATTTAGATGGAGTGAATGAATGCACGGAAGAATACGAGGACTCATTAACTAGACCACTGAATGATGATAATGGCACGCCATTAGCTAGAACATGGAAAGACCAAACTTCATTCTTATGCACTATTCCAGTTCAACGTGATGGAGCGGGTATATTCTTTGATGGATTAGAAACTTTCAACTCACAAGTTACAGTACAAGTGAAAGCTTATCCAATCATTCAGGGTGTAAATGACACTTACTGTTCAAAGGTGACAAATCCTCCTCAGGTTTGGTTTACTAGGACTACGTATTGGACATGGACACCGGATGAAGGTTTGAAATATCATCCAACAGGTACACCACCACAGTATAGAAGTTCATATGATGAAATATTGATGAATAGAAATGTTTAAAATTATAAATTTATTTTTGATTAAATGGATTTAAATTCATCCACCCCTTATGAAGAATTAGCAGGAGTATATAATACATACGTAGATGATATGATTAATGAAGCATTGAGTGATAATAGAAATGCTCTATCTAAGGAAAAATTAATGAAAATTCCATATTCTGAATGTTACTTAAATTCAATCACTGCAGCAATTGGTAAACAAAATAAAGGTAAAACATTAACGATATTAAAACAAATTATCATTATTGCTAACACTTCCCCCCATTCACATGTGTTAATTTATATCAACCGTTCAGGTTCACCTTCAGATGATACATTTGAATCTTTAAAGCATTTAATCAAAATTCCAATTATTTATTTATCACAAGAAGAAGCAGAAGATTATTTAAAAAACTTTTTAATGTATAAAGAATTATATAATACAATCAAGAAGCAAGGATTAGAGGATAAAATTATTGATAAACAACGGGATGAATTATTTGAAACACTTTCTATTTCAAATTTTGATAGAGAATTTTTGCATTCACTCATTTTTCTAGATGATGCAGTGAAATCAAAACTAATAACAAATGAGAAATCATATTTTAATCAGTTATTAACTCAATGTCGACACATTCAATGTTCATTCTTCATGGCTGTTCAATACTTCAAAGCATTAAGCACAAACATTAAATCAAATCTATCAACACTTTTCATTTTCAGTGGGTTTAGTCGTCAACAGTTGAACGTTATGCTTTATCAAGTGAATTTACCAATGAGCATTAATGAACTTTACACACAATATCAGCAATTAGGTGAACATGGAAAAATAATAGTTGATTTAAATAAAGGAAGTGTTAAATTTGATTAACTTTTTATAATTAATTTTTATTTTTTATTTATAATTAAACATGACAGAAATAGCAAATCTTCTACAGGTTCCATTAAAACAAGGAACAAACAAAAAGGGTGCATATAATAGAACTATGAAAGTTCCTGATGGAATGAAAGAATTAGTTCATATTGTTGCTGGTCTTCAAAAAGATGTTAAACAAATGAGAAACGTTTTAACATTACCAGAAGCTCAAGCATATGCCAAACGTCATGGTCCAAATTGGGAAGCACACGAAGCAGACATTACGGGTCCAAATGGAAAACCGATGGTATAAATGAAGTTTTCGTTACTGATGGTCAAGGTAATATTAAAGTCATAAATGGTTATAAATTAACTATATCTGATTATCCTAAACGTAAAATATATAATGAACGTTATCCTATGCAATTTGATGAAAATGGAAAAGCTGTTAAACAATACATTGGAGAAGGTGAAAATGGTCCAATTAATTCATACCGTCATAATCCATATTCTTATTTCAATGAAGAATTAAATGCTATTGAAGAGGGACCGGATGGATTACCACGATATTCTAACCAGTTTGATGGTCAATATGCAAATATTAGACCTGAAATTTCAGCTAAGAAATTCTTTAAAGTTGCTTTATTCGATCCAGTTTTCGCAAATGTTAAAGATGAACTTAAACAGCAATTCCAACCAATTATAGTAGCAAGAATTGCATCAGGTGCTTTATCTCAAGCATTCAAAGATTTAATTAAGAAACCATTATATCAGCAACGAGGTTTAACTTATGATTTAGTTAAGGAATCAGATAAAAGAAAATTTGAGAAATCAGATGATTATAAGAATGCAATTAATGAATATATTCGGTCTATTAATTTCGATGAAAATGCTAAAAATCAACTTCATGAACAAATACAGGGAATAATAGATTCAAAAGTTCCAGCAAAATAAAAGTTTAAATATATTTTTTTATTCGATTATAAATGAGAAGACGTTTCACTAGTCAAAAGAACACTAACGCAAAAGCAGAGATTACGGTTGGTTATAACGTAAATGATGATAAATCACGAATTATTCAAAATGTTAAAGTTAATGTTAGCCCCGAATTAACAAGGTCAGCAACTCAACCAAATTTATTAACTCGTGACTTACCGAAGAATGAGGAGAATGAAGAAAACCATGAGAATGGAGACCCAATCATTTTATCTGAACCTGGTAAAGAACCTGTTGAAATTCCCACTTATCCAACATACCCCCACCTCTTTCATCAAACATCGAGAACCCATATAAAATAGACATTAATTCAGAATTAATGAAAATTTACCGTGATATAATAATTAATAATTATGATTCAATAATAAATTTAATTGACCAATCCGGTTTAATTATTTTACCTTATGAATCATTAATTCACATTATCGCCATTCTTTGTGATGTTCAAGATTCAGACGTTAAGATTCAATTTTTCATAGATGATGAGGTTTCATGCTGCGGAACAGTTGCAAAAATAAATCCTATAAAGGATATTAGCACAATTAAGATATCAAAGAACGGAACAACAACTGAACTTCATTTAACATATAATGATATTTATAATAAAATAGTTGATGAATATAAAATATCACTTGAAAAATTCTTTGTTAAGACTATTTAATATTCAAGCATTAACATTATCGAATAATAATCCTTTGAATCATAATCGATAATAATTGACCTTTCACCAGTTTCTATCGTTTGTTTTATTTCTTTTTGTTCCCCACTATCTGGATCGGTCATTGTAATTGTTTTTGTTATAGTATCAGCTTTATCTTTAACTTCAATCTTTTTTCCATCGGGATATTTAAACCAAAATTCCAAAAATTCGATATTGTCAATCTGTTCATATTTTAATCTATCAATTACATTTTTAATACCATCTGAAAATCTTATGAAATGGTCATTATATGGGTTTGATTGAACTAAATTTGAATGAAGTGAAATATAACCTGTTGATGAATATGACATTGACTCATATTTTCTGAAAACACTAAAATTTATAACATGAATGAATTTCTTATTCGTTGAATTTATGAATTCTTGAGGTAATCTTATTCTAGTTTTATTTATCACTGGAAAATAACGCTTTACCATATTTTTAATCGTAATAAAAATGTCAATTATCAATATTATTTCGAATAATAGCTGTGAATTAAATTTAACAGTTAGCGGAATTTATAATGTTACTCTCGTTTCTGTGAGTGGTAAATTTAATCCCATTCTTTTAGACCCTTCAGATTATATATCATTTATTAAAGATGACCTTGAAAAAACGTATGATATGTATATAAATAATGTGATAGCGAAATGGGATATTAACATGATTTTAAGTTATTTAAATGAATCATTTATCGTATGGTATGAAGAAAATTTTAAATCAAAACCTGATAAACTTTTTGAACTTGATGAAATAAATAACCTTATTAAATTTCCGCTGAAAATTAAATTTTGTACTCCTCATTTTCGTTCATTGTTGGGAATATTAAATTTTGAAAAAGATGTTGGGGATGTTTTGTATTCTGACACTGGTTCCAATTTCGTTTTAATCAAATGTGATAAAGTTAATACCCCAATGAGATTTTCACATCAAACATTAGACCCTAACTCTTACCCATCAATACAAAACATTTTATCCATCAACTTAAACACATTTTCTTTATCATATCCGTTTCAATTATCCGGAAATTCATTTATTCTTCATTCAAAAGATTTATCAAATATTAAATTTAGAATAACTGACCTATTTGATTGTGATTTAGAATTCATGAATGAAATATTATGGCAATTTCAAATAGAAAAAATAGGTGATGAGATAACAGATTAAATATTTATTTTTAAATCATAATAAATGATTAAACAACAGCAACCACAACAACTTAAGGCATAAAACACCCAGGTCCCTCAGATCATTACATACGCCATATATGCATATAATTCAAAGACGGCAGAACAAACGCAAAGGTTGAAATATGGAGATTTTGAGATAGTATTGAAAAATGACCATTTCGAATTCGTTTGCAAAGGAGGTGCAGTGATATCAAATATAAAAGAAATTTTATTTATGAATTCAAAAATTAAAGGAATAACGGATGATATAACATCAATTCCACCAGAAGAACAGAGATATTACGCATTAAATGCATTTCCTAAAGTTTTGAAGATTGGAAGATTTAATTTAAATGAGGAATTCATAGAAGGTTTCCTAAACGACATAATGAAGAAGGCAGATAAGGAATATGTGGATAGTGAGTTAAATAAGAAGGCAAATTTGGTTTATGTTGATGAAAAAGATAATGAAATTAAAGAAAAGGTTGAATGGTATCATGAATGGACATTTGAGACTTTTAAAGTTAAAGCTGATACAGAATGGGTTTCAGGATGTTTAGACCTTAAAGCAGATAAAACTTATGTTGATGAAAATTATGCAAAGAAGTCGGAAGTAAATGATGTGATTACAAGCATGAAAAATGAAATACTTCAAACATTATATCCTGTTGGTTCTATTTATACGTCAATGAACTCAACAAATCCTTCAGAAGTTTTAGGTTTTGGTATGTGGAAGCAGATTGTGGATAAATTCTTATACTGTGCTAGATATTCAAAGCAAACAGGAGGTTCGAAGAAAATTAAAGAAGCAAACTTACCCCCACACACTCATACAGGAACTACAAACTTTTCTGGCGACCATAGCCACTCATTAAGAGACCACCCATTATACAACTCAGAATAGGAAGCTGGCTATGATGTTTTATCTCCAGATTATAACCATTCAGCAAAAAAGACTTTTCGACAAACTGAACCAGGAGGAAATCATGTCCATACTTTCACAACAAATCCAACAGGTTCGGGTAAAGATTACATGCCACCATTTGTGACTGTATTCGCATGGTACCGTGTTCATTGAACACGCTTGAGCCCAGACCTTTGGGTTAAGGCTTACCGAATGAACTAAATATATTTTATGTCTGTAATTAATTAGGTAATGAAGTAGCGGATGAACTGCAGAAATAAATGTTTACGTTAATGTTTACGTTAAGTGACTCAAAGAGTCCGGAGACAAAGTCTCATGTTTTTAGGTTATTCAATAATTAATTATTTTTGAATAACTGAAGGTGTTACCATGTTACCATGTGCTACCAGGTTATTTAACTTCTCTTAAAATTACTGACAACATGACATTTTGACAACAGTCCCGGAAATTTGATGCAGTCCAAAAATAAAGTTAGTTTTAAAATTATTTTTATTTTTTTATTTTGTATGTAAGAACAGAAATGTCAGTCGAAGCAAAAACATTCAGCAACAAATCTAATGGCGAAACATTCACAAAAGGCACTTATAATGGTATTGAAGTCTTAAGTAGAGACAAGGATGGTTACATTAATGCAACAAAGATGGCAAGAGAAGCGGGAAGGTTAAACCATTTAAACAGATTTCTCAATAGTACTAAAATGCAGGAAATTCTTGAGTTTTGGTTGAAAGAATATGGTGGAGCCAAAAGTGGCTCGACCTAAAAACAAGCATTTTATGAGCTTACTAGGGGTGTTATAAATAAATTCAAAGGTATTTACATACATCCTGACCTCGTTCATTTTGTTGCTGAATGGTGCTCTGTAAAGTATGCATTTTATGTCAAAGATATTATGGACTCCATAGACAAGAAAGTTCATGAGAAGTTAGATGAAGAAGAACTCGAAGATACAGTAGAGAATGCTAAACCTTTGTTCGAACAAGAAGTTAGAAAAATGTGCGAAAAACAATTAGAACATGAACGTGAGATATATTATGGTTATAGAGATTCTCCATACGAACTAGACCAATGGGAACAAGAAGATTTAAAGAGAGAATTTAGAGAATATGAACTCGCTAAGATAGCATTAGAAACTGCAGAAAAGAAGTTAAAAGTTTGGGGTCGTTTTGTAAAAAAATATTGTGAGTAAATGAACCATTTATTTTTGTCATAAACGACCAAAAATAAATGTTTACGTTAATGTTTACGTTAATGTTTTCAGGTTATTCAATAATTAATTATTTTTGAAGAACTGAAGGTGCTACCATGTTACCATGTGCTACCAGGTTAATTAACTTCTCTGAAAAAATGAGACAACATGACATTTTGACAACAGTTCAGGAGGAAGGCATTTATGAATTATTTTTGAAGAACTGAAGGTGCTACCATGTTACCATGTGCTACCAGGTTAATTAACTTCTCTGAAAAAATGAGACAACATGACATTTTGACAACAGTTCAGGAAATATGATGCAGCCCAAAAATAAAGTTAGTTTTAAAATTATTTTTATTTTTTATTCCTATATAAATGACAGCAACAAACAACAACAGCAACTATATCATTTCTGATGAAAAAGTTATTGATTCATTAGCTGAGGAATTAGTTGTGGCAGAAACTAAAACCCTCAACGAAAGAATTGGTGAAAACAAGATTGATTTACATAACTACCTCAAACACGATGGAGGAAGAGGAGGGAAAACTGGTATGGCTTTATTAGTAAATAAAATTTCAAATTTAACGATTATAGATGTTGATATCAATAAATCGTACAATGATGAACTTAAAGAAACAGTTAGAAAAGACATTTTATCAAAACTTTCGGATAAAGATGTTATCGTTAAAACCGCTTCAGGAGGTCTTCACATTTATTGCAACACTAATTTCTTCTATTCAACCTCGAACAGAATGATTAAATGTTATTCCTGCAATGATTATGATATTGACATAATGACTTCTATGGATGATTCAAAACGTTCTTTAGTGGTTATGGCTGATTCAAGAGTTCGCAAGAATGCATCAGAACCAATCAATACATACTCATTCATTCGTGGAAGTTATGATTCAACATTAACTAGAACCGTAAACGATATATTAAATGATTTGAATATTAAGGTAAGAGTTGAACAGAAGAACGAAGAAATAAAGACTATCATGAATGAAAACAAAGATGTAAACATTGACGATAAACTTGCCCAGAGCATAGTTGATGGCATCAGTGATTTTGAAGTACATAATGACGGTGGAAACATGAATTTAGAAAAAGAAATAACATTATTCACACTGTTTCAAGCTATTAATTCGTTACCGGATCATTTGATTAATGAAGCATACGATAACGTTTATAACTTCTGCAATTTAACTGAAAATGCAAAAAGTAATTTTGAAAAAGCATGTAGTAGATATGCACATTTAATGACTTCTCCATTTGTTTTAGTGAAGATTCTAAAACTATATCAAAAGGAATATTATGATGAATACGTTTTGCCTTTATTACGTAAGCCAAAAATAACATTTGATATAAAACTTGATGACTCGTTTTTGATAACAGATATTAGACGCAAGGCTGAAAATCATCAGTATAAAAACAGTTCTGAAGTAATTGAGGATTTATCACGTGTAATCCGTTTTGTAGATTGTGGAAATAAATATTTCATTCAAAAGGACTATAATATCCACGACAAAATGAATCAAATATCATTCGTTCTTCAGTCAAACATGAAAGAGTCACTCAAAATGATTAAATTATTTAAAGAAGAAGGTAAAACAATAACAGCATGGGACGTACTACTAAATCAATTATCCTCATTAACCGTTAAGGGTGTTTGCTTTAAATCTGATTCCCCAGATGTTTTCTCAACGTTTCAGGGTTATAAATACAACATTCTCGAAAAAGTAGATTACTCAAAAATTGAGATGTTTATGAATTTCATTAAAGAAGTCATTTGTGATAATAACGATGAAGTGTATAAATACCTTCTCGGCTGGATTGCATCAATGATTCAACATCCTGGAATCAAGAATGAAACAGCAATTATTTTGAAAGGACTTCAGGGAACAGGTAAAAACAGATTTACAGACATTATTTCTGAACTCCTCGCTGGTTATTCATGTAAAAACATTACCGAAATAAGTGAGCTAACGGGTAATTTCAATTCAGTAGTTGAGAATAAAATGTTTCTTGTACTTAATGAACTCAAGAATGTAGGTGAAGATAGACTCGCAAACTTCAACGCTTTGAAATCAATTATTACGGATAATGAGATTAGAATTAATGAAAAGAATCAACCCAGAAGAACTGCTCAGAACGTTGCAAACTTCATTTTCGTAACTAATAACGTCTACCCTGTCAAAATTGAAGTTGGAGACAGAAGATACGTAGTTTTAAGAGTTAATGGTAAATTCAAGGGTCAATTTGATTACTTCAAGAATTTAATGGATTCATGCACTAAGGAATTTTATGATAACCTTTTAACATATTTTATGCAATATGACCTTTCATCATTTAATGTACGAATCATACCGATGACTGAAGCCAAACAAGATTTAATAGAATTATCAACAAATCCTTTAGATGTATGGATAAATACACATTATGATGAATTGTGTGCAGGTATGACGTGTAAAAATGCTCTATTCTGCAAACCATCAGACATGAAAGACAAGAATTTTCAAATGAGCATTAAGGATAAATGTGATAGGAAACATAGAAGAATAGACGATAAACAAACATGGTGTTATGTTTTGAAAGAAGAAATGAAAGGATTATATAAACAGGTTGAACCAAATGATAATGATGATTCATTTACTGACGATGAAATACCTGTAAATGATGCTTTATAAAGTATGATTTGAATTTATTTTTGCATTAATCCTGAACTGTTGTCAAAATGTCATGTTGTCTCATTTTTTCAGAGAAGTTAATTAACCTGGTAGCACATGGTAACATGGTAGCACCTTCAGTTCTTCAAAAATAATTCATAAATGCCTTCCTCCTGAACTGTTGTCAAAATGTCATGTTGTCTCATTTTTTCAGAGAAGTTAATTAACCTGGTAGCACATGGTAACATGGTAGCACCTTCAGTTCTTCAAAAATAATTCATAAATGCCTTCCTCCTTTCGTCCAGCTGTGTTGTCAAAATGTCATGTTGTCACAAACTTTATTTGCTTAAAGGTGTACTTACCACTTTCAGATATTCCCTCATAATATCAAAACTTTCTTTTTAGAAGCATACTTTTTGATATAATTATAACAGACAAATGAGAGAATGTCTGAAAGTGGTATGTGCACCCTTAAATAGAGTAAAAAATCGAGATAACAATTGAGATATTTCTTCTTCAAATAGGATCCGTACTGTCTAATAAGTTGAAAAATTTTGACATTCGAAATTTAGGTAAAATTATGACATTTAAGGAGAATTATAAGCATTCTTTGGATTTTGAAAATAACCTTATTCTGAAATTTCATAAAAATTATTGGTTGTTTGAATAAGTTGATTCTCAGTAAATATTTGGGTTTAAACTAGGAAACCCTAAGTAGATTAGTTGTTGACTCTTTACAAAAGTAAGTGTATGTTGAGATTATCCTTAGACAACTTTATTTAACTACTTTTTGAGATATTTCGTATAATCAAATTTTTTATGATTTCAAAAAGTGACAAATCTAAATATCGAAATGAAAAAAGAAAAAATGGGGCGAGCCGGGAATTGTAAGTGTTTATTCGGAAAGGGTTAAGACGAGCGAGCGAAGCGAGCGAGCAAAGTTTTAGGTGAGCGAGCGAAGCGAGCTACTTGGGTGGAGGTGGGGCAGGATTTGGTCTAGGTGGATTTGTTGTTGGTGGTTTTCACTCCAATGAGTGTATCATGGATGTGGTGCTAGTCTGTTATCAGACCATACGGACTGATGGATGGGAGGTTAATATTATTATCTGTTTGAGGGAGGGTGAGTAATTTTCGTGGTGTCTCTTTTATTTTGGCTTGTGATTCCTAGCACGGAATCCGGTGTTTGGTACACGTTTCGTACCGAGTGACATCGCTTAAGCTCTGCCAATCCTACTATGCTTCTGTTCTTCTCACTCGTCTTATCTCTTCTTAGTTAAGGAATTCGTCCTCATCGGGTTGGTCTAAGGCTTGTTCTATCGCGTTGTTCTCAGCATCTTCTTCGATGATTTGATCAACAGAGATAGTTTGTTCGGTTGAATTATTTATTTGTTCGCCTTGGCCATTGTCTTCTTGAGCATTTCCATTGTTGGTTGGTTGCTCTTCAGAGGTTGCCTGTTGGTTCTCCTGACCATGATCTGTGTCGTTATTGTTTTCATTGTTGTTTGGTGGGATCGCTGCATTGGGAGCTGTGACTCGTCCTGGGAGGGGACGGCAGCGCATACCGAAGAATTCTGGCACTTTTTCAAAAACAATGCAAGCACTCGCAGCTATCGCGTGCATCGAAAGTCTCTTGAGTAGCTGTATGTGATCTGCAGGTGAGATTCTCAATGCGTCGAGTTTTGTACGGAGAGGGATGACTCCTAGTGATGAGACTACGATAATTGAGAGCGTCGTGGTCCAGTTAAATAATCTCTCTGTTTGTTCAGCAAGGCTCTTATACTTGTTAACCTTTTTGTCGTATGCCGCGTCAAGAGAGTTGCCAACATTGTTGTCCGTGCCGTAAGGGCATGTGACTTCAATGATCTTGATCATCTTGTTCGCTTCATCGTAGACAACAAGGTCTGGGAGGAGATCTTTAACTGTGTCGTCGAGCTCTGGGCCTGTTGTTTGGTAGCCGTCACTTGTAATTCTCGCCGAGCATTTGATGGTTACTCCTGGATAGTGATCGTGAATGAATTGGTAAATGTCATCGCATATGATATTGTGGCGCCATTTGTATAGACTGAAACGGTTTCTGCACATGTTCAATGTGTGGAAGAGAGTGCAGGATTGGCATCCGCACAATGGACAATTAGCCAAAACTTCTGGGTTGTGGAAGTGCATGTTTGCTGGGGTTGGAGCTGTGTTTGTACGGAGAGCAATAGCCGCTGAGTAGAGGTTGTTTGGAACAGCTTGTGGTCTCTTCATGATGTCGTGTGACTCCGCTAGCGCTGCTGGTTCGCAGAAAGTGTGTGAGTGTGTTTCGTCTTTCTTGAACTCCTCGTACTGCCTCTGTTGGATGACGCGACCGATTAAGGGTGAGATTTGGCCGATGTGTTTCGAGCGGTACCAGTCTGTTGCATTTTCTCCTACACCTCTGACTTGTATGCCTCCTTTGTCCCATTCTTTGAATCTGACTTCCAGTTTGTCTGCTGCTTTAGCCGCCTGTGTGATGAAACAATTTGTGCGTTTGGATCTTTCGTTCTTCTGGACAATTTTGCCGTTTTCCATCTTGATGCCTAAGAAACCATTTTCTTGGTCTTCGACGACCTTGCGGAATGACTTCTCTTCTTGAGCCATTGTGTGAAAGAAGGCTTTGGTTTCTGCTTGTTGACTTAACCATAACCTCGCAAATTTAGTGAGAACGAGCTGAGGCTGGCGAAGTTCCAATTTAACGAGTCCAAAGCCGCCTTTGTTCTTCGGCATGTAGAAAAATGAAACCGGAATGTTTGACGTCGGCGCTTCTTTGTCGATCAGGCCTCGGATCATCTGATCTGTCGCTTTCAAGTCATTGACTCTGAATACGTTGTGGAACATGTAAAAGTCAAGTTGTGGCAAGATGAAGACTCTGAGAGCGATAATCTTCTGAGAGAGAGCGAGATGTGACGCGAAGACGACTCTGATCTGTGCTTTGACCTTTTCCAGAATGCCAGTTGCAGCTGCAAATCTTGATGTCTTTGTTCCAGAGATTGGTATTCCAAGATATGTGATGTTGTCCATGCTCGTCTTGATTGGGATTTCGTCTGGACCAATGCGGAAAGGTTGGATTGCAGTGGATGTTTTGGCAAGTGTGACGCATTTCTGTGGTGCAACTTTGAGTTTCGCAATTTTCTGGAATTCATCTACTGTGTTTAAGATTCTTTGCATTCCTTCATGTGTTGGAGAGATGACTAGAACGTCGTCAGCGTAAGCTTGAATGGCAATTGAATACTGTCCTGCTTTGTCTTGGAATCTGTAACCGTCCTCAAAGTGTCTCCTCTGGACTGCATATAATAAAGGATCTAAGCAGCAGTTGAAGAGGATTGGACTGAGTGGACAGCCTTGGATGACACCTCTGCGAACCGGAACTATCTCGGAGTGTGCATGTCTTGTATAGATAGCCGTTCTTGCTCCTTTGTAGAGGTCCTTGAGCAGATTGATGATCGAATCGGGAACTTTCTTCGCTTCGAGAGAATCAAAGATCAATTGATGAGGAACTGTGCCGAAAGCGTTCGTGAAATCGATTGCTGTTTGGAACATTTCAGACTGTGTTCTGGTTGATTGGCAAAGGACTTCGTTCGCGACTGCAATGTGCTCACTCAGTGTTGCTCCGCGAACGAAACCTTTTTGCATTGCGTGGAACATTGGGATCATCTGTAACGCTTTGTTGACTAAAGTCATGAAGATTCTGTAAGTGCATGACGTGATGCCGATTGGTCTCCAGTTCTTTGCTAACGATGGGTCGTCCTTCTTAAAAAGCATCACTGTCTTGGAGAGCTTCCAGCAGTCTGGGATGTGACCTGATATGATGATTGATCTGAATAATATACTGAGGAATTTTGCGGCGCTGACTGGGAATAGCATGTAAACTGAGTTCGGAATTCCATCGAGGCCGTGTGCCGATAAATGATTCTTGTTGCGGATTACTTCGATGATCTTCGATTCATTTGTCATGAAGTCGAGGAAGTCGTTTGCGAAAGCTTGGCCATATCTCTCCGGTAACGCGTAGTCATGATGCAGGAAGTTTTCGTAGCCTTCAGCTTCGTTTGCCCATTGAGGTCCGTAGTAATCAAGGTATTCGCTTGGCTTCAATGATTGTTGTGGAACTTTGTCGGCTAAGATTATGTTTCTGAGAGTCTTTGTTGGGTTATCGGCGAAACATGCTTGTAACTTCTTCCTTGCATATGGTGATGCATCCTGTGGTGTTCCGAGAATTCGGTTAATGTAATCCATTTTCTTGATGAATTCGTTGTTGTCCTCCATGTTGACGATGTTGAGAATACTCTGGTCGGAGATCGGTCCTTGAAATATTTCTTCAATGTTATATTGTTCGAATTTGTTATCTCTGAGATCGTTTTTGATTTTTGCAATCATTTCGACGAATTTATTGTGTTCATCGTCTCTCGTGCTGTCTTTGAGGCATCTCGCGTGACTTATGTGTTTGACTACTTTGATGAGAGTTCCTTTTATTTCATTGGCTGCTTTTTGAATGCGATCTCTTGTGTCTTCCGATATCCTTGGCGGTGGTGCTGTGTCTTCTCCTGTGTCTTCTCCATTTTCTGCTGTCATAAACTTTGGTTCGCTGTGGTTATTGGTGTAGATCATTTCTCTCAAGGCGGCATTGCATTTTAGTGTCAAGTAATCTACCTTGATTTTGTCTGCTTCTGTATTTCCTGTAGCTGCGTATCTTGTGGCTAATGGAGTGAGTTTCTTGTTGAAAAGTTCTCCTCCTCCTTTCAATAGTTTTAATCGGACGAGTGATGTCATTTTCGGTGTAACGCAGCCTCTCTCTTCTGCTTGTTGGAGTTCTGGAATGTTTCTTCTTGCCTCGGCGATGATGGCTACCTCTTCCTCTTCTGTTGCTGGTGGATTGATGATGACGGCATGAACCGCTTCATCTTCTGTCTCTGTTGTGTTATTTGGCGGGTCGAGGGCATCTGCTTCTTCGTTGTTTCCGTTGTCTTCTTGGTTCTCGTTGTTCTCTTCATTGTTGTCAGCATTAATTATCTGTTGTACTGGAGTGTTGTCTACTTGCTCTGCTCTTTCTCTTGCTCTCTCGGCATGTAATGCGTCGAGTTCTTCTTTGGTAATCCAGCAGTATGTAGCATCAGTGTGCGCGATTTCTCCGTCTACTCCTGCTGTTGTAGACTTATGTTTCTTCTTTAGATGTTCTTTGATGTCGCTCAATTCTGTTACATATGTGTTGCATCCTGCTTCTGGACATTTGCGACAAGCGTGTTCTTTGATGTCTTTGAGTGTCGGGTAGACGATTCCTTTTGGTCGGTTGACTCCTTCTATGACAATACCCCAAAAGAAGCCGTATCTCTCGATGTATACGTTCTTGGCGTGTTTCTTCGTTTTCATGTGGTCCATGAGTTTTGATCTGTCGTTGTTCGTGTATGAGCAGTCTGCATAAGGGCATTTGAATACGTGCGTATCAAGGTCGATGTTTCCGTTTTCATCTTTGTAGACAAACGTGCCTGTGCCATAGGCTTGGGCCAAAAATTCAACCCAGATGTCTATGGTGTGAACCTTTGGGTCAAAGCTCGTTTTCGCGATTTCTCCTTTGAAGTGGTCGCAAAGTTTTCTCAGTGATTCGAATGCCTTGTCTTCGTGTCCTTCGTATGATTCAAGTGGGCATCTAAGACCTGGTTTTGGTAATTTCCCTTCTTCTACTAGGAAATATACAAAGATTGGTGTATCTTCGGCGATAACCTCTTTGTTGACTCTGTAGTCTTTAATCGTTGTGTAGAAACGTTCTAAGTCTTCAAGTGTTTTGATGTTCGTTAAGTAGTCTTCACATTGTATTAAAAATTCTGTAAGTTTTTCGGCTGAGTTAATGTATCTTCCATTGTTGTTCTGGCTGTTCGTTGTATCATGTTCTTCTGCGTTGGCTAGAGCTCCTTCGACAAAATCTGGGCTGTAATCGATGTCTTTATCAGCAATTAGTTCCTTATTGTTCAGTGATTTAATCGGGATATTGTGTGCGCTGAAATCTCTTAAAAGTAGAGTCAGAATTCCGAGATCTCCTTTTGGTGGTTCATCCATGCATGGTACAAACCTGAGTTGACAGGTGTCTGTGATGATTATGGATGGTTTCCGATCTGTTCCTGGTGGACTTGGAGGGAATGCTTCTTCAATTGTTTCTATGGCTTCTCTTCCTACGATAAGTCTGAATCTGTTTGTTTCTTCAAGTGTGTCAAAAATTGCGACTTGTGTTTCTGGAAATAAATTTTGTACTGTTGGTTTGTCGATAGTTTTGTAAAGGCGTAAAATGTCGTTGAAAAAGAAAGATATATCTGGTGATAATTTTTCTGTGAGATGTGAAATCATATGGATGGCATGATCTTCTGCTTCGGTGAATAACTCGTCGCAATACGAGCATCTGTATTTTAGAGGGTTAAGTTCTTCGATGCCTGTCTTGTCTATTTTGATGGCCGTTATTCTTCTAAATGTGTCTTCTGTTGTTTCAAATGTATTGATCATGGGGTCAGTGTTATGGTGCTCTCTGATGTGTTCAACCATTCTTTCACAATTGTCACAATGGAAATTACAGCCATCAGCGTTACAGTGGAACGGTTCTGTACTCAAGTCACGGTCTTCAGGTGAGAACATGGATGCGACTAACAAACTGATGGGCAATGATGCGATGGATTGGCTAAATATTTTTTCCGAAATCCAGTAATTCTCTATTTCTTTCGGGTAATCTAATCTGAACTCCATCTTCGATAGGCTCCTGATTAAGTCGGAGTAATTTTCTGGATTCAACGCTGCAATATTTTTCAAAACGATATCTAAATTTTGTTCCTCAGGCTTCAAAATCGTTTTCGCGGTTGGCGTGAAACTGTCTGTTATAGCTGTGTTGCCACAGTACACGTACGATTGCAGTGGAAGCTTCTCGGGACCTCCTGTACCCAAAACAGGAATCATACCACTAGACTACTCACCCAAACACACTAAATCAAAGTTTTACCGACAGTTCAAAGTATTCGACTCAAAAAGTGACCCACATCAAATCTTGAATGAAAAATTTTTAGATGATGGAAAGCAAAATCCATTGCATAGTATATCTTTGTTTCTAACAAACAGAATCAGTTGTTTTCTAAACGGTACCAACTGTTAGATCAACTGGCGCAAGAAATTTCCCTTTACAACCAGATTCCAAACCAAAATACTGAACTTGATAAACAATGCACTGATTTTACAGAGAATGTATCTAATAACTGCCAGAGGATGTTACAAATTGTATCCAGTATCAATGCTGAACTGAAAAAGATCCATCTTGATACAAAAAACGAGCAATCAGTCGAAATTTCGAAATTAACAAACCAGAACAAGAAGATGGAAGCTAAAATAGCATCATTACAATCCATATCGAGGTCATTACTCTCCAAGATCTCCAAATCCCGTAGAAAGACTGATGAAAAGATATTATCTTTAATCCAGAAAGTTACAACGAAGAATTTCAACTTAGAACAAGCATTCACACAGGATACAGTCTTAAGACCATTCACTACTATCTTAGATCACATTGAAACAGAGACCTCCTTCGAAAGTAGTAGTAGGATAGGACGGGGTGTGTGACTTTTTTTGTTACGTCTATATATAGATGAAGGTATATTTTAATGCATCTTCTATACATAGATGATATAAAATTTTTTCTTACGTTTTTTAAGTCATGAATTCGTAAGAAAGCGCGACATTATTAAATAAATTAGTAATAAATATTATATACTAAACACATTATTAAAAATTAACATTAATTTTAAAATAATTTATTTTTTTATCTTTTATAAAAGAAGCTATATATAGATGATGTCAGATATTCCGCGATTAATTAAACATTGTTTAAATCCTGAATGGGTTAAACTTCAATTTAAAAAGGAAGACTGTGAATTATTAAATGAATATGAAAGCCAAAATAAGCTAATGAGGTATAAATATAATGATAAAGAATATTTAATTTCATGGAATCAATGGAGTCATAATCAAAGACCTCATAAACGAGAAGAAGAAATTGAAAATAATGAAATGGAAATCATTGATGACATTAAAGAGGATGGAATTCCTAAATTTTGTAGAAAAACCTTTAGAACTAAGTTAGGAGCATATAAACGTAGAGTATTAAATCCTGAATATCTTAAACATCAATTTAAAAAGGAAGACTGTGAATTATTAAACGCTAATGAATATGAAAATGCTAAATCAAAACTGAGATATAAATATATTGGAAGTGATAAAAGGTGTAAAGATAAAGATAAAGTTTATTCAGTTTCATATAATAACTGGCACACGTTAGGGATAAGAAAACATTTAGGAGATTATGGGAAATGTTCTGAATTCTTTAAATCTAGTATATACGAGAGAGTAAAAGAAATTAGAAATAATTATTTTCATGAATGAAAAATAAAAAATAAAAAAATTTTTTAAAAATAAACTTTAAAAAGAATTTGATGAGTTCAACATAGAACTTTAAGAAACTAATGATTATTTGAATTTATGAAATCAATTATTTGATTCATTCTTTCTTCAATCTCTTCTATTCTTTTTGTTAAATCATCAATTTTCATTAATGAGGTGATTCTTGATTGAGGAATAGATTTCAAACTAACCACTCCTTTTATTTTTGAAATTTTGAATCCATCAACTTTAAACATTTTATTCAATTTACACGTTGTCAATTCTTCAAATAATTTTTTATTATTAGCATAATAGTCATTAAATTCTTCAATAGATGAAAAAATTTTTATTTCAGTAATTGGTTTAACAACGTTTATTTTTTGTTGAACATCTTTACTTTCATTTATTTCTTCCTCCTCTGTTTCATTTATTTTTAAAATCGGTTTCATTTATTATTAAATAAAAATTAGAATATAAGTGATGAAATATATTTTTTAATTAATATTAAATCAGAAATGGCGGCAGGATTCTTTAAAAAATTATGGGATGGAATTAAGAAAGCTGCAGGTTGGGTTCATAAAAATATTATTAAACCCGTTGCAAACTTTTTGGCACCAGTAGCGAAAACGGCAGGAACTATCATAGGTGGAGTATTAGGTACTAAAGCAGGTAATCCGGCGATGGGAGCACAAGCAGGTAACGCAGTTGGTGGAATTGCTGAAGGAATACTTAATAAAATAGGAGGTAGATAGTGGAAAAATAAATAAATATTATTTTTATCTTAGTATCGGTTGAAGTCTTTGATAAACTTTTTCTCCTTTATTTAATATTTCTCTTATTGGGGCAGCTTTTGGTGTTATTGATTCAGCAACGTCACTAATTGCTTCTTTATTCTTAAATATCCAATTTGCTCCTTTCTTAATTGTTTCCCAAACTTTATGCGCTCCTCTTTTTACTTTATCCCACAGTTTCTTAAATATCCTGCAGCCATAGTTGATTATTTCATTAAAATTAAAAATTCATTTTCATCTTTTAATTTTGATTTTTTATTTAATAATAAATGACGACTAACTATTTAGTGCCAAACACTAAACCGATTAATGGAAATGTGTTTCATTCATTCGAAAAGATAAATGAAATATTCGCAAAGAATGACGGTAGAAGATATTATAGAGAACTTGAAAGTTCATGCTATGACTCTGATGCTCCATATTTTGATGATAAACAAACTCATTTAAGAATTACAAATCCAGCTCATGATGTGAACCAATTAGGTGACACATATATTAAACGCAAAGTTAAAGCAACTCTAGTTTCAAATAAAGCTTTCACATGTGATGCCGCTTTTAAATGCATGCGTTTATTCGTTGGTTACAAATCATCAAATCAAAGCTTTAAACAATTAGAAGTAGAAACTGAAAGAGGTGATGCCGGTTATCTTCAGATGGATTGCGCCCGTGAATCTTTCGCATTTGCAACATATAAACCAAAATCAGAAAGGAAAGTTAAAAAGTTTGTTCATTCGTTATATAATAATGTTCAAAAATATGATAACTCAGTATGTGGTAAATATATTGACCCTTCAGAAGTTTTCAAGAACGCAAATGAAGAAGTTGATGTCACTTTTGATATGATTATTCCGGTAAATGATTTGTTAGCATTTCAGGCGTTCGATGATTATCCTAAATCATTTGGTGATATCATTCTTAAATATTATGTTTTCAGGGATACTTTAGTATTTTGTCAGGTTGACCCGTTAAGAGTTGCTGATTTACAAAATTACGTTTATGAAAAGATAACTGATGAAAATTATGAAAAGATTATGAATCATGTTTATAAATATGATCGCAAATTCCAACAAATCGGACTTCCTGCCAAATTAATTACAAGCTTAGCCGCTACATCTGCTGACGCAACAGTTGATGACGTTATTATTTCATGCACAAAGATGGAAGTTTTAGAGGATAAATGCATTACACCAGGATACGGTTTAATTGAAGAATCAGTTAAAGCAATACCACGTTTATTCAGTAAGGAAGATCCATTCATGATTCCAGCTCAACATATTGACGTTCGTTCACTAAATGGAGGTTGCATCACTCCTGAAGGTATTAGCTCAGATTTCTCATACGCTCTTCATAATGTTACAGATGTTGTGTTAACATTTCCGAAGAATGCAATGCAAAGAACAGTTTTAGAAAATCCAATGCTTCGAGGTCTTCAGGTCACTATAGATTCCAGAAACTTCCCCGATCAAGCGATGACCACAGTGGGTGACATATTCTTTACACGTATGCTTCAAGCTTCTGATTTAGATGGAGTGAATGAATGCACAGAAGAATACGAGGACTCATTAACTAGACCACTGAATGATGATAATGGCACGCCATTAGCTAGAACATGGAAAGACCAAACTTCATTCTTATGCACTATTCCAGTTCAACGTGATGGAGCGGGTATATTCTTTGATGGATTAGAAACTTTCAACTCACAAGTTACAGTACAAGTGAAAGCTTATCCAATCATTCAGGGTGAAAATGACACTTACTGTTCAAAGGTGACAAATCCTCCTCAGGTTTGGTTTACTAGGACTACGTATTGGACATGGACACCGGATGAAGGTTTGAAATATCATCCAACAGGTACACCACCACAGTATAGAAGTTCATATGATGAAATATTGATGAATAGAAATGTTTAAAATTATAAATTTATTTTTGATTAAATGGATTTAAATTCATCCACCCCTTATGAAGAATTAGCAGGAGTATATAATACATACGTAGATGATATGATTAATGAAGCATTGAGTGATAATAGAAATGCTCTATCTAAGGAAAAATTAATGAAAATTCCATATTCTGAATGTTACTTAAATTCAATCACTGCAGCAATTGGTAAACAAAATAAAGGTAAAACATTAACGATATTAAAACAAATTATCATTATTGCTAACACTTCCCCCTATTCACATGTGTTAATTTATATCAACCGTTCAGGTTCACCTTCAGATGATACATTTGAATCTTTAAAGCATTTAATCAAAATTCCAATTATTTATTTATCACAAGAAGAAGCAGAAGATTATTTAAAAAACTTTTTAATGTATAAAGAATTATATAATACAATCAAGAAGCAAGGATTAGAGGATAAAATTATTGATAAACAACGGGATGAATTATTTGAAACACTTTCTATTTCAAATTTTGATAGAGAATTTTTGCATTCACTCATTTTTCTAGATGATGCAGTGAAATCAAAACTAATAACAAATGAGAAATCATATTTTAATCAGTTATTAACTCAATGTCGACACATTCAGTGTTCATTCTTCATGGCTGTTCAATACTTCAAAGCATTAAGCACAAACATTAAATCAAATCTATCAACACTTTTCATTTTCAGTGGGTTTAGTCGTCAACAGTTGAACGTTATGCTTTATCAAGTGAATTTACCAATGAGCATTAATGAACTTTACACACAATATCAGCAATTAGGTGAACATGGAAAAATAATAGTTGATTTAAATAAAGGAAGTGTTAAATTTGATTAACTTTTTATAATTAATTTTTATTTTTTATTTATAATTAAACATGACAGAAATAGCAAATCTTCTACAGGTTCCATTAAAACAAGGAACAAACAAAAAGGGTGCATATAATAGAACTATGAAAGTTCCTGATGGAATGAAAGAATTAGTTCATATTGTTGCTGGTCTTCAAAAAGATGTTAAACAAATGAGAAACGTTTTAACATTACCAGAAGCTCAAGCATATGCCAAACGTCATGGTCCAAATTGGGAAGCACACGAAGCAGACATTACGGGTCCAAATGGAAAACCCGATGGTATAAATGAAGTTTTCGTTACTGATGGTCAAGGTAATATTAAAGTCATAAATGGTTATAAATTAACTATATCTGATTATCCTAAACGTAAAATATATAATGAACGTTATCCTATGCAATTTGATGAAAATGGAAAAGCTGTTAAACAATACATTGGAGAAGGTGAAAATGGTCCAATTAATTCATACCGTCATAATCCATATTCTTATTTCAATGAAGAATTAAATGCTATTGAAGAGGGACCGGATGGATTACCACGATATTCTAACCAGTTTGATGGTCAATATGCAAATATTAGACCTGAAATTTCAGCTAAGAAATTCTTTAAAGTTGCTTTATTCGATCCAGTTTTCGCAAATGTTAAAGATGAACTTAAACAGCAATTCCAACCAATTATAGTAGCAAGAATTGCATCAGGTGCTTTATCTCAAGCATTCAAAGATTTAATTAAGAAACCATTATATCAGCAACGAGGTTTAACTTATGATTTAGTTAAGGAATCAGATAAAAGAAAATTTGAGAAATCAGATGATTATAAGAATGCAATTAATGAATATATTCGGTCTATTAATTTCGATGAAAATGCTAAAAATCAACTTCATGAACAAATACAGGGAATAATAGATTCAAAAGTTCCAGCAAAATAAAAGTTTAAATATATTTTTTTATTCGATTATAAATGAGAAGACGTTTCACTAGTCAAAAGAACACTAACGCAAAAGCAGAGATTACGGTTGGTTATAACGTAAATGATGATAAATCACGAATTATTCAAAATGTTAAAGTTAATGTTAGCCCCGAATTAACAAGGTCAGCAACTCAACCAAATTTATTAACTCGTGACTTACCGAAGAATGAGGAGAATGAAGAAAACCATGAGAATGGAGACCCAATCATTTTATCTGAACCTGGTAAAGAACCTGTTGAAATTCCCACTTATCCAACATACCCCCCACCTCTTTCATCAAACATCGAGAACCCATATAAAATAGACATTAATTCAGAATTAATGAAAATTTACCGTGATATAATAATTAATAATTATGATTCAATAATAAATTTAATTGACCAATCCGGTTTAATTATTTTACCTTATGAATCATTAATTCACATTATCGCCATTCTTTGTGATGTTCAAGATTCAGACGTTAAGATTCAATTTTTCATAGATGATGAGGTTTCATGCTGCGGAACAGTTGCAAAAATAAATCCTATAAAGGATATTAGCACAATTAAGATATCAAAGAACGGAACAACAACTGAACTTCATTTAACATATAATGATATTTATAATAAAATAGTTGATGAATATAAAATATCACTTGAAAAATTCTTTGTTAAGACTATTTAATATTCAAGCATTAACATTATCGAATAATAATCCTTTGAATCATAATCGATAATAATTGACCTTTCACCAGTTTCTATCGTTTGTTTTATTTCTTTTTGTTCCCCACTATCTGGATCGGTCATTGTAATTGTTTTTGTTATAGTATCAGCTTTATCTTTAACTTCAATCTTTTTTCCATCGGGATATTTAAACCAAAATTCCAAAAATTCGATATTGTCAATCTGTTCATATTTTAATCTATCAATTACATTTTTAATACCATCTGAAAATCTTATGAAATGGTCATTATATGGGTTTGATTGAACTAAATTTGAATGAAGTGAAAATATAACCTGTTGATGAATATGACATTGACTCATATTTTCTGAAAAACTAAAATTTATAACATGAATGAATTTCTTATTCGTTGAATTTATGAATTCTTGAGGTAATCTTATTCTAGTTTTATTTATCACTGGAAAATAACGCTTTACCATATTTTTAATCGTAATAAAAATGTCAATTATCAATATTATTTCGAATAATAGCTGTGAATTAAATTTAACAGTTAGCGGAATTTATAATGTTACTCTCGTTTCTGTGAGTGGTAAATTAATCCCATTCTTTTAGACCCTTCAGATTATATATCATTTATTAAAGATGACCTTGAAAAAACGTATGATATGTATATAAATAATGTGATAGCGAAATGGGATATTAACATGATTTTAAGTTATTTAAATGAATCATTTATCGTATGGTATGAAGAAAATTTTAAATCAAAACCTGATAAACTTTTTGAACTTGATGAAATAAATAACCTTATTAAATTTCCGCTGAAAATTAAATTTTGTACTCCTCATTTTCGTTCATTGTTGGGAATATTAAATTTTGAAAAAGATGTTGGGGATGTTTTGTATTCTGACACTGGTTCCAATTTCGTTTTAATCAAATGTGATAAAGTTAATACCCCATGAGATTTTCACATCAAACATTAGACCTAACTCTTACCCATCAATACAAAACATTTTATCCATCAACTTAAACACATTTTCTTTATCATATCCGTTTCAATTATCCGGAAATTCATTTATTCTTCATTCAAAAGATTTATCAAATATTAAATTTAGAATAACTGACCTATTTGATTGTGATTTAGAATTCATGAATGAAATATTATGGCAATTTCAAATAGAAAAAATAGGTGATGAGATAACAGATTAAATATTTATTTTTAAATCATAATAAATGATTAAACAACAGCAACCACAACAACTTCAAGGCACAGATCCATTACATACGCCATATATGCATATAATTCAAAGACGGCAGAACAAACGCAAAGGTTGAAATATGGAGATTTTGAGATAGTATTGAAAAATGACCATTTCGAATTCGTTTGCAAAGGAGGTGCAGTGATATCAAATATAAAAGAAATTTTATTTATGAATTCAAAAATTAAAGGAATAACGGATGATATAACATCAATTCCACCAGAAGAACAGAGATATTACGCATTAAATGCATTTCCTAAAGTTTTGAAGATTGGAAGATTTAATTTAAATGAGGAATTCATAGAAGGTTTCCTAAACGACATAATGAAGAAGGCAGATAAGGAATATGTGGATAGTGAGTTAAATAAGAAGGCAAATTTGGTTTATGTTGATGAAAAAGATAATGAAATTAAAGAAAAGGTTGAATGGTATCATGAATGGACATTTGAGACTTTTAAAGTTAAAGCTGATACAGAATGGGTTTCAGGATGTTTAGACCTTAAAGCAGATAAAACTTATGTTGATGAAAATTATGCAAAGAAGTCGGAAGTAAATGATGTGATTACAAGCATGAAAAATGAAATACTTCAAACATTATATCCTGTTGGTTCTATTTATACGTCAATGAACTCAACAAATCCTTCAGAAGTTTTAGGTTTTGGTATGTGGAAGCAGATTGTGGATAAATTCTTATACTGTGCTAGATATTCAAAGCAAACAGGAGGTTCGAAGAAAATTAAAGAAGCAAACTTACCCCCACACACTCATACAGGAACTACAAACTTTTCTGGCGACCATAGCCACTCATTAAGAGACCACCCATTATACAACTCAGAATATGAAGCTGGCTATGATGTTTTATCTCCAGATTATAACCATTCAGCAAAAAAGAATTTTCGACAAACTGAACCAGGAGGAAATCATGTCCATACTTTCACAACAAATCCAACAGGTTCGGGTAAAGATTACATGCCACCATTTGTGACTGTATTCGCATGGTACCGTGTTCATTGAACGCGCTTGAGCCCAGACCTTTGGGTTAAGGCTTACCGAATGAACTAAATATATTTTATGTCTGTAATTAATTAGGTAATGAAGTAGCGGATGAACTGCAGAAATAAATGTTTACGTTAATGTTTACGTTAAGTGACTCAAAGAGTCCGGAGACAAAGTCTCATGTTTTTAGGTTATTCAATAATTAATTATTTTTGAATAACTGAAGGTGTTACCATGTTACCATGTGCTACCAGGTTATTTAACTTCTCTTAAAATTACTGACAACATGACATTTTGACAACAGTCCCGGAAATTTGATGCAGTCCAAAAATAAAGTTAGTTTTAAAATTATTTTTATTTTTTTATTTTGTATGTAAGAACAGAAATGTCAGTCGAAGCAAAAACATTCAGCAACAAATCTAATGGCGAAACATTCACAAAAGGCACTTATAATGGTATTGAAGTCTTAAGTAGAGACAAGGATGGTTACATTAATGCAACAAAGATGGCAAGAGAAGCGGGAAGGTTAAACCATTTAAACAGATTTCTCAATAGTACTAAAATGCAGGAAATTCTTGAGTTTTGGTTGAAAGAATATGGTGGAGCCAAAAGTGGCTCGACCTAAAAACAAGCATTTTATGAGCTTACTAGGGGTGTTATAAATAAATTCAAAGGTATTTACATACATCCTGACCTCGTTCATTTTGTTGCTGAATGGTGCTCTGTAAAGTATGCATTTTATGTCAAAGATATTATGGACTCCATAGACAAGAAAGTTCATGAGAAGTTAGATGAAGAAGAACTCGAAGATACAGTAGAGAATGCTAAACCTTTGTTCGAACAAGAAGTTAGAAAAATGTGCGAAAAACAATTAGAACATGAACGTGAGATATATTATGGTTATAGAGATTCTCCATACGAACTAGACCAATGGGAACAAGAAGATTTAAAGAGAGAATTTAGAGAATATGAACTCGCTAAGATAGCATTAGAAACTGCAGAAAAGAAGTTAAAAGTTTGGGGTCGTTTTGTAAAAAAATATTGTGAGTAAATGAACCATTTATTTTTGTCATAAACGACCAAAAATAAATGTTTACGTTAATGTTTACGTTAATGTTTTCAGGTTATTCAATAATTAATTATTTTTGAAGAACTGAAGGTGCTACCATGTTACCATGTGCTACCAGGTTAATTAACTTCTCTGAAAAAATGAGACAACATGACATTTTGACACAGTTCAGGAGGAAGGCATTTATGAATTATTTTTGAAGAACTGAAGGTGCTACCATGTTACCATGTGCTACCAGGTTAATTAACTTCTCTGAAAAAATGAGACAACATGACATTTTGACAACAGTTCAGGAAATATGATGCAGCCCAAAAATAAAGTTAGTTTTAAAATTATTTTTATTTTTTATTCCTATATAAATGACAGCAACAAACAACAACAGCAACTATATCATTTCTGATGAAAAAGTTATTGATTCATTAGCTGAGGAATTAGTTGTGGCAGAAACTAAAACCCTCAACGAAAGAATTGGTGAAAACAAGATTGATTTACATAACTACCTCAAACACGATGGAGGAAGAGGAGGGAAAACTGGTATGGCTTTATTAGTAAATAAAATTTCAAATTTAACGATTATAGATGTTGATATCAATAAATCGTACAATGATGAACTTAAAGAAACAGTTAGAAAAGACATTTTATCAAAACTTTCGGATAAAGATGTTATCGTTAAAACCGCTTCAGGAGGTCTTCACATTTATTGCAACACTAATTTCTTCTATTCAACCTCGAACAGAATGATTAAATGTTATTCCTGCAATGATTATGATATTGACATAATGACTTCTATGGATGATTCAAAACGTTCTTTAGTGGTTATGGCTGATTCAAGAGTTCGCAAGAATGCATCAGAACCAATCAATACATACTCATTCATTCGTGGAAGTTATGATTCAACATTAACTAGAACCGTAAACGATATATTAAATGATTTGAATATTAAGGTAAGAGTTGAACAGAAGAACGAAGAAATAAAGACTATCATGAATGAAAACAAAGATGTAAACATTGACGATAAACTTGCCCAGAGCATAGTTGATGGCATCAGTGATTTTGAAGTACATAATGACGGTGGAAACATGAATTTAGAAAAAGAAATAACATTATTCACACTGTTTCAAGCTATTAATTCGTTACCGGATCATTTGATTAATGAAGCATACGATAACGTTTATAACTTCTGCAATTTAACTGAAAATGCAAAAAGTAATTTTGAAAAAGCATGTAGTAGATATGCACATTTAATGACTTCTCCATTTGTTTTAGTGAAGATTCTAAAACTATATCAAAAGGAATATTATGATGAATACGTTTTGCCTTTATTACGTAAGCCAAAAATAACATTTGATATAAAACTTGATGACTCGTTTTTGATAACAGATATTAGACGCAAGGCTGAAAATCATCAGTATAAAAACAGTTCTGAAGTAATTGAGGATTTATCACGTGTAATCCGTTTTGTAGATTGTGGAAATAAATATTTCATTCAAAAGGACTATAATATCCACGACAAAATGAATCAAATATCATTCGTTCTTCAGTCAAACATGAAAGAGTCACTCAAAATGATTAAATTATTTAAAGAAGAAGGTAAAACAATAACAGCATGGGACGTACTACTAAATCAATTATCCTCATTAACCGTTAAGGGTGTTTGCTTTAAATCTGATTCCCCAGATGTTTTCTCAACGTTTCAGGGTTATAAATACAACATTCTCGAAAAAGTAGATTACTCAAAAATTGAGATGTTTATGAATTTCATTAAAGAAGTCATTTGTGATAATAACGATGAAGTGTATAAATACCTTCTCGGCTGGATTGCATCAATGATTCAACATCCTGGAATCAAGAATGAAACAGCAATTATTTTGAAAGGACTTCAGGGAACAGGTAAAAACAGATTTACAGACATTATTTCTGAACTCCTCGCTGGTTATTCATGTAAAAACATTACCGAAATAAGTGAGCTAACGGGTAATTTCAATTCAGTAGTTGAGAATAAAATGTTTCTTGTACTTAATGAACTCAAGAATGTAGGTGAAGATAGACTCGCAAACTTCAACGCTTTGAAATCAATTATTACGGATAATGAGATTAGAATTAATGAAAAGAATCAACCCAGAAGAACTGCTCAGAACGTTGCAAACTTCATTTTCGTAACTAATAACGTCTACCCTGTCAAAATTGAAGTTGGAGACAGAAGATACGTAGTTTTAAGAGTTAATGGTAAATTCAAGGGTCAATTTGATTACTTCAAGAATTTAATGGATTCATGCACTAAGGAATTTTATGATAACCTTTTAACATATTTTATGCAATATGACCTTTCATCATTTAATGTACGAATCATACCGATGACTGAAGCCAAACAAGATTTAATAGAATTATCAACAAATCCTTTAGATGTATGGATAATACACATTATGATGAATTGTGTGCAGGTATGACGTGTAAAAATGCTCTATTCTGCAAACCATCAGACATGAAAGACAAGAATTTTCAAATGAGCATTAAGGATAAATGTGATAGGAAACATAGAAGAATAGACGATAAACAAACATGGTGTTATGTTTGAAAGAAGAATGAAAGGATTATATAAACAGGTTGAACCAAATGATAATGATGATTCATTTACTGACGATGAAATACCTGTAATGATGCTTTATAAAGTATGATTTGAATTTATTTTTGCATTAATCCTGAACTGTTGTCAAAATGTCATGTTGTCTTCATTTTTTCAGAGAAGTTAATTAACCTGGTAGCACATGGTAACATGGTAAGCACCTTCAGTTCTTCAAAAATAATTCATAAATGCCTTCCTCCTGAACTGTTGTCAAAATGTCATGTTGTCTCATTTTTTCAGAGAAGTTAATTAACCTGGTAGCACATGGTAACATGGTAGCACTTCAGTTCTTCAAAAATAATTCATAAATGCCTTCCTCCTGAACTGTTGTCAAAATGTCATGTTGTCTCATTTTTTCAGAGAAGTTAATTAACCTGGTAGCACTGGTAACATGGTAGACCTTCAGTTCTTCAAAATAATTCATAAATGCCTTCCTCCTTTCGTCAGCTGTGTTGTCAAAATGTCATGTTGTCACAAACTTTATTTGCTTAAAGGTGTACTTACCACTTTCAGATATTCCTCATAATATCAAAACTTTCTTTTTAGAAGCATACTTTTTGATATAATTATAACAGACAAATGAGAGAATGTCTGAAAGTGGTATGTGCACCCTTAAATAGAGTAAAAAATCGAGATAACAATTGAGATATTTCTTCTTCAAATAGGATCCGTACTGTCTAATAAGTTGAAAAATTTTGACATTCGAAATTTAGGTAAAATTATGACATTTAAGGAGAATTATAAGCATTCTTTGGATTTTGAAAATAACCTTATTCTGAAATTTCAAAAATTATTGGTTGTTTGAATAAGTTGATTCTCAGTAAATATTTGGGTTTAAACTAGGAACCCTAAGTAGATTAGTTGTTGACTCTTTACAAAAGTAAGTGTATGTTGAGATTATCCTTAGACAACTTTATTTAACTACTTTTTGAGATATTTCGTATAATCAAATTTTTTATGATTTCAAAAAGTGACAAATCTAAATATCGAAATGAAAAAAGAAAAAATGGGCGAGCCGGGAATTGAACCCGGGACCTCCTGTACCCAAAACAGGAATCATACCACTAGACTACTCACCCAAACACACTAAATCAAAGTTTTACCGACAGTTCAAAGTATTCGACTCAAAAAGTGACCCACATCAAATCTTGAATGAAAAATTTTTAGATGATGGAAAGCAAAATCCATTGCATAGTATATCTTTGTTTCTAACAAACAGAATCAGTTGTTTTCTAAACGGTACCAACTGTTAGATCAACTGGCGCAAGAAATTTCCCTTTACAACCAGATTCCAAACCAAAATACTGAACTTGATAAACAATGCACTGATTTTACAGAGAATGTATCTAATAACTGCCAGAGGATGTTACAAATTGTATCCAGTATCAATGCTGAACTGAAAAAGATCCATCTTGATACAAAAAACGAGCAATCAGTCGAAATTTCGAAATTAACAAACCAGAACAAGAAGATGGAAGCTAAAATAGCATCATTACAATCCATATCGAGGTCATTACTCTCCAAGATCTCCAAATCCCGTAGAAAGACTGATGAAAAGATATTATCTTTAATCCAGAAAGTTACAACGAAGAATTTCAACTTAGAACAAGCATTCACACAGGATACAGTCTTAAGACCATTCACTACTATCTTAGATCACATTGAAACAGAGACCTCCTTCGAAATTTCATTAAATATCCTAATTAACCTCACAAACAACGAAGAGATACTTAAAAAGCTATCCATGATCACAGAAGAAGAGAGTACAATGATTCCTTTACGCGCAATTGAACTCTACGACTCATTTAAAGTTGATCCGAATTTGATTCTTTGTTTGATCAAAAATTTATCAAATGAAGAAAGAAACATCAGATCAATCATCAAGTCTTACTCCATTGACTTCATCGCCATCAACATTGACTACTTTGAAGACAACATTGACTTGATCGAGATCATTTTGAAGAATATGATAAAGAAAGAAAACGAAAAAATGATTCGAAAGTATTCAACTGACGGAATCAAGACAATTTACCAGTACTTGAAGGATGAATCAGTCAGGGCATTGATACAAAGATTCTTCTTCGATGATATAGAGAGAAAAGGTTTCTCTACTCCAAGAAGATTCGGAATAACAAGAGTTTACACTTAAGAATAAAAAAAAAATTTATAATTTGCTTAACTTGAGATCTATTTATATATCACAACATTATATTAGATCTATTTATATATCACAACATTATATTAGATCTATTTATATATCACAACATTATATTAGATCTATTTATATATCACAACATCTTTGAAGATCGTATCTACGGCTATACAATTAGAGAAGTGATTCTATTCTCAATTTCGGATCATCAAATTGAATTCTTAAATTTAGAGACAGATATAATTTCATTGTCAGGCAATGACTTTATTCCTCGAATATCATTTGTTCACACTTCTAAACAAGAGTGACATATTAGTCAATATATATTTATGCTATTAAGTTTCGCTACATACTGTTTTTGCAACCAATCTTGATAATCAATTATTTATGAATGAAGAATATATAATACTCTAAGGTGTGACTTTGACACCCTGCTGGTAAAGAAGTATTCTTATGGTCATAAATATACTTTTTTATCTTGATAACGCCATTGATTATATATATGAATTCACAAAATGATTAAATATTATGTTGCTATCAGTAGGAACTTCGAATGACAAATAACCAGCGATTATAGCTCCAAAATGTAGAGTTCTAACAATCAAATGAGCATTTTCTTTAAGATTCAATCATTGTCGCATAGAAGAAAATTGTATCATATAAATCGAGTGATAGATAGTACTATTCCTACTCAAAACACAAGGAATTCAAAGAGAACATATGATATGCTATTTCCGTATGTGAAGTGCTTCATATAAAAATTAACATATCCCATGAGATATATAATCATCATAGAACATCTTGCAGAATGTAAACAAAATCAAACAGATGGGCATAAATTAGTCTATATAATTCAAATCTTCATAAGATGATACACTCTTGATATCTTTTGTTCAATATGCAAATAAAAATTCTAAACATTGAGCAAAAATTAAAAAGAAAATAGTTACATATTAATATGAAATGATTCTTCTGTTAAATCAATGAATTTTCAGTCATAAAAAATAAAAGATGCTTTTTGGACTTGGCGATAATAACTATGACTATGCTCCTCCACATCAGGTTGACGAGAACGATCTACTTGATGAGCAGATAGCATCATTAAAAGCAGAAATCAAAGCAATCGAGAAAGAAATTCAAACAAAAGAAGCAGCCGCATTATTACAAGAAGATGTCTCTAAAGAAAAGAAGCAAAGAGAACTTGCCGATTTAGAAAAACAAGTTGCCAATCTTACAAAGGCAGTTGAACATGAAAATTCAAGAGTTAATCATTATCAATCAGAAATTATACGCAGAGAAACAAAACAACCACCACCTCCTCAACCAGATACAAATGATGAAACAGTCTCTCAGTTAATGCAGCAAAGTGAGCAACTAACAGAAGAATTAAAACAAATTCAATCAGATTTAATTGCAGAAGTTGGTGAAGATTACGACGTTGATGAGATTATCAAGACAGGTGGATCATCAAAGAAACGTGCAGATGAATTGCAAAGCTTACAAGCTCTTGTTTCAAAGAATCAAAGTACATATGTCGATGCCCGACGATTAGACGAAATCAACGAAGCAGGAAAGAAAATCCGCAGTGGTGTTGATACGCTTGTTTCGCAGAAACAGCAACTTACGAAAGATATTTCTTCTTTGAAAGAAAAAGTAAGCAAATACCAGAAGAAAGCGAACGCATTAGAAGAACAGAACAGAGCACTTAAGACAATGGACGTTTTATTAACAGAAAAGATCCAAAACGACCAAGAATTACTTTCACATTTAGAAGAAATCGACAACCAACGCGTTCATGAACTTCCTGAACCAGAAGTTACTCCTGTTTCCTATGATTTCATCTCACAACTTCATACTCAGCTTCAGATTGTTCGTGGTTTATGTTGGAAGCTTTGTCTTGCGCAGAAAGAAGTTTCTAATTACCAAGTACCAGAACAATTCTCATTTTTGGCCGACCAACTTTCTCAAATTAACAAAAGATGCATTCAGCTTGAGAACGCATTCATTGCTAGAGAAGATGAGGCCACTGAACAGATAGTTAAGTATCTTGAACAATTAGAAGAAGAATAAAATTGTTTGTTTATATTTTTAATTTTTTATATTTTATATGATTGCACTTCATTTCAAAATAATCATCATATGCTTGCCATTATTATCAGCTCCAATATAGATAAGATATTGAACAACTTCAAGATGATCTTCTCTTGATGCACAAATGAGTGGATTCCATCTTTTTTAATTCTTTGCTTCTTTATCAGCTCTGATTGAGATAAAATAATTTACTTCTCGTATACGTTTTTCAGATGAGAACTCAGGGTGCCTTGTCTTGTAATTACTCGAGGCTGCAGATCCATCATAAGCTGCTGTGTACCCATCATTGGAGAGAGATTTGGAAAGGTCTCTATCCATGATTGAATTTCAAGAATATATAAATCCATGAGTATATTTAAAATGCCTTACAGTTTTTACATTTTCTTTTTTTCGTTATTGTAACATGTTGCTTAATGAAGTGCAGTTTTTCCAGTAAAAAAGTAATATTTTCCTATATTTGATGTTTTCCAATGGCTATTAACTCATATAATTAATAACTTAGCCATTACATCTATTGCGCTCATAGAAATATTAAATTTCTGAATAAATTATTTGCAACTAATATGATTTTCATAACTCTATGTAATAAATAGAATGCCCCTGCCCATCATTTATCATACCAAGCTTTGCTTGATGAAAATTTCTTGGAAACTTGCTCTCAATTTTCGTCAGAATAAAAATAATCAGAAAATATGATGATCCATTACTTCTACATCAAACATCTATAAATTGTTTTCAAAGGTACATTCACTAGGCGATAACAGTAAAATGGGATGAAAATAGGATAAATAGCATCCCTATATAGTGCCTAACAATATTTATACGGGCCAAAAAAATTTGGCTAGAGATTTGGCGAGTTATAAAACTTAGAAAATTGAGAGGGGTTTTTATTTTTGAATTTTTTTTGGAAAGTTAAAATTGCGATTAAAAATCGATTTCCAGGAGAACTAAGCATCTCATCATATATTTAAATCGATAAAAATATTAAATAATAGTTGAATAGTATAACAACATGAAATTATGGCTGAATCTACAGAAAAAATGAACATATTTGACATTTTTGAAAATTCATACGTTAGATGGTGACAGACTCATAAACTATACTTTAGCTAAGATTGATATATGGTTTCAACAACACATGGTTAAAACCGTAAAAATATTTTAGATTTCAAAAAGATATATATGGTAATATAATGGAACAAAGTCAACAAATAGCATGTTAAATATGTTATAATTAACTTTTTATTAGATCCAATAGTAGATATCGAATGGTTTCCAGCTCTATGGTTAAATATTTTCTTTTCGAGCTTCTCTTTAACTGTTGTATTAAGGTTGTAAATTTTTGATGCTAGAAACTATGGAATCTTCTTTGCTGCTGCATTTTTCTTGAGAGTTCTTGCAATTTCGAATAGATCTGCGCATTGTATGAAATGGAGGCTTTAAAATATCTTGAAAACAGAATAGGACTGCTTTTCCAAAGGAATGCTTACTTGTAAATCAGAGAGTTTCAAAATTGAGAGCAAGAATATCATCATAACTTTCGATTTTGCTGCGAAAAAGGAAGACAAGTAATTAACAAATCATTTACTGTTGTTCATCAAAAGAAGAAAACTTTGATAACAACTAATGATGATAAAATCAAGCTATCTTTTAATATTTTAAATTGATAAGACATTCAAAATATTTGAATGGTTTAAAATATTTTCTTTTAATTTCTATAAGATATTATCATGATTATATAATAAAATTTAAATTTTTATTCAAAAAGGCAATATTTCAAACTTTTAATTTCAAAAATCTTAATTCTGCAATAAGTGTATTTAATTGTAGCAAATTTAATGATCCTTCGTCATGCTTAGCAATTTGGAACTCATAAATTAATGATTTCTTCAAGTAAAATTCTGCATTATTTCAAAAGTCAATAATTCTCTAGTAACTTTTCTTCAAACCCTAACCATTATATTATATGTATAATGGAGAATAATTGCAAAGAAAGATAGCCGAATTTACTGGGTAGTTCTTGTGATGCGAAATAATTGCAAATTAACACCTAGTTTTAACAGCATCAATCTCTTTTTGCTCTCATTTAAATGCATTCGCACACTTTAATTTTGAAATATAAGAGTTTTGGAAATTATCAAATTTATCTGCTCAAATACTATAGATCGTCATAAGTGTTAATAGAATCACCAGCCTTACATATAGTGTTTAATATAATGATGCACATCATACTGGAATTTATTCCTTATTCATCTAGTTATTATAAGATTTACAACCCCATGAAAATTTAAAATTTTGTCAAAAATAGTGAATGTACCTTTTTGTTTTCAAGCAAAAAATTTTCAGAATTTTTTTTACCTTTGAAAATGAATCAAGGGACTATACATAATGTCCCTATGATTTCGATCGCAGAAGAACCAGTAACTGATGATAACATACCAACTTATACTTTAGAGATGGTTAAAAGCTTTAATCATTCTTTAAAAATTACAAGTCCTGATTTCTTAAAGAAATTAGAACAAATGAAGTATTATCGCATACATCAAAACGATCCTGTCGAAGCTAATACACCATCAAAGTTTAAAGCCCCAGCAGATCAAATGATTTATAATATTAACCACTACATCAACAAATTAACTGCAGATATTGAAACCATCAAGAAGATGGCAGATAAGATGATTCATGAATTATATTTCGGCACAGAAAAATTCATAACGAGCTTTTTAAATATAATTGTCGATACAGCAACAATACAATCTCCATTTGCAATGATATACACCAGATTTCTTCAAGAAATTTATATAGGGCTTCCAACTACTGATCAAAAAACATTTTTTCGAAATAAATTGGCAGAATTTTTATATAACGAAGAAAACCTAAGCAGTTCAAGAGCATTTTTCATAGGGTGTCTTACATCAGCAGATTTAACAGATAAATCCAGAGTTTTTGAAATCGTCAAACAATTAACAAACGATGGAGGACAAGACTCATATGAAATTTTGTTCAACCTACTAATATATTCAGGCCAAAAGCTCGAAAATACATTTCCTGATTTTGATCAAATAATTTCCTCAATTACAGAAGCAGCATGCAATACAAGCATTCCACAAAGAGTACGATTTATGCTAATGGATCTACTGGAAGAACGTGAAGCAAATTGGAAAATTGGCAAATTATTACCGAATTTTGTTCATGTCGATGATTCAAAGGAATCTGAACAAGAACTCTCAGGAGTAGATGCAAGTATACTTAGATCTTATATAACAGAACGAAGTCTTCCAAGCAAATTTACAGAACATCAATTATATTCACTTTTATTCTCTTTGGCCATTGCATCCATGAAAAACTACGAAATAGGAATTGGAGCATTGAAAGAACTTGCCAATCGTAAAGAAAAAGTTTTCAAAGACAAAACAATTATTTTATTACAAAAAGTTAAACTAAATGCAGACAAAGAAGACGTTTTAATTGACTATCCATATGCTGTTCGTACTATTGGTGCTATATTTGGCCAGCTAATTATACTTGGTTTCAAACCCGAATTATTTGGTTCGGATTTATTCCCGTACGACATCATAGTTTTCATTGGATTACTCGAAGAACTCGTTGGTATTGATAGGATTGACATAATTACTAATAGTCCTTACTTATATAACTTAAAATTCCTTCCTGACTTACATTCACACAGCCAAGTGATTTCCGAGCTTGTCGACTTCGATCTAACTGATATCTATCCTGTTTATGATGCTATGAAGACAATTTTCCAAATGATTAATGACGATGAACCTCCAGAATTAGTAATGAAGTACTTGTTTAACGATTTGGACAAAAGTATCTTCAAGTCTACATATTTGGTCGAATTCGTCACTGAATTCATGGTAATTCATAAACCACAAAAATATGGCTGTCTTATGACATATATAGCTAAACGACCTCTCGAATCATTCGCTCACATTGAGTCAATTGGAGAAATGTATCAATGGAAACCTGAACAAATTGCGGCAAATATCAGAAGATTAGCCCGTTTGATTAATGCCCCATTAGATGAGTTTAAGAAACTCAAATTGAGACCTTTCCATGATATTGTTGTTAAATTTATTTGATCTATTTGTTATTTATAATTGAAAATTTAATTTTGTTTTTTTTTATTGTATCCATTGTTAAATATATTAAAATATTAGATTTTTATTACTATTTTATTTCTATTTAACAGATTTTACTTCCAATTTATTCTCCTAAATATGAAATTCAGTCAATATTCTAAGAGATGTAAGATTTTGGGACTTAAACCATGAAATAAGATAACTGTTACAAATTTCTATATAGTATTACATCATTCTTTTTTGTAAACAGATATTGTCTAACGAAACATTTCACAAATCAAATATTTTGAAAATTTGGTGCACGGATATACTAGTTGGAACAGATTCCTAACTTAGTATACTGAGATTAGCCATAATATATTGATTAATGATTTTGATTTCATTTTTTTTTTCTTCTTTGCAAAGTTTTAATCATTTTTTTAAGTATCGATGTCTCAATTCATTGACACATTTCACTCATGTGTTAAAATAAATAAGTTCACCTATTTGGAAACAAACAAACAAACAATTATATTTTTATTCAACCTGAGGAACTTCAACTTTTGATATGAATGGAGTTCCAGGACCAATTGGAACTTTCTTTACTTTTATTGGAGTCTTCTTTCCTCTAGCACTTGAAGCCTGTGAAGCATTATCTTTCACTTCTTCTTTAGATTCTGAAATAATTGCAACTAAATCTTGGAATCTCTTTTCGATTAATTCCAATTTTGCTTCTGGTGTTTCGATTTTCTCTGTTGTTGTATAAATTCTTCCTAGTGATTCTTGTGTGGCTTTCACCATCTTCATAATATTATCAATTGATGACATAATAGTTACGTAATCGGTTTGCTTATCAGAGACTCTTTCAGCACCTTTTATTGCGTTAGTTTTAACATATCTATTCTTCTTTTGCAATTTTTTGATGTCTTCTCTCAAAGAATAAACTTGATGAACTAATTGTATCCTTTGGCCTTGTAGTCTCTTGAGTTCTTCCTTAGCTTTCGCTAAACCATTTGTTTCTGGTTTTCTCAGCTCAAGAACTTTGTCATCTCCATCATCGTAATTTTCATCTTTTACTTCTTCTTTTTTGACTTCTTTTTCTTCGCTTGTTGATCTTGAATAAACATCTTTAGCTTGCATCAACAAATTAAATCTGTTTAAGATCTGTTCAGTGTTCAAGAAAAGCTTGCTCCTTGTAACAACATCTTCAAAAAAGATTGAATACGGTTGCAATTTAGAAATTTCATTTTGAGTTCCTTGAATCTTTTGCTGCAACTCTTTTTCTGTAACAGTTAGTTCTTCTAATTCATCTTCGTATTGCTTTGTAAGGCTTTCCTGCTTCTTTCTATTTCGATTATGGTTTTCGATTTCAGCTCTAAGGTGTTTGAATATCTCTTGCGTCTTCTGCTCGATCTGATATGCATCTTTTCTATGCTCGTTTACCAAAGCTTTGTCTTCTTCTAAATTTGATTCCCATTTTTCTTGGTCTTGTCTGGCCTGTTGGAGCTCAGCTTGTATCTGCTCAAGTTCTGTCTTCTTTGCAATCAATTGCGGCGATAAACCTGGAAGATCTATTCTTCTTTCTTGTCTATTACCCATCATTTCAAGATATTTCTTCTCAAAGGTTGTTTGTACGTGTTCTATCTGAGTAAGGAATGTTTGGGATGCAAGTGCTTCTGTTTTCTTTTGAGATTTCTGCCGCTTGATTTTTTCTGTTTTTTCTTCTACATTTTTAAGTCTTGGGTCGCGCTTTTTAAGAAAATAAGCTAATTCATGTATAATATCTGTGTATTCTTGAATGATATCTTCTTGACGATTATTATCATCGATTTCATCAACAGAAACAGTGCGTAAAGTATTGAATTTAGACCAATAGTTATAAAATTGCTCGATATCATCGCGAGATGATTTAGCATCTCCAAATTTTGGTGCATTTTGATTTTCATCTCTTGAAACATCTCCAAAAAATGTGTCAAATTTAGTGTAGAAACTATTTTCATCATTTCCAAAACCACTGTAAGCGTTTGCTTTAAAAAGTTCATAAAAGTCCTCTAATTCTTCATAGGCAAAATTTTTGTGATTATCATACCAGGTTCTCTCTCTACTATCGCTAAGAATTGAGTATGCGTGTTCAATTAGGTGAAGAATTCGTTTTGCCTCATCTTTATTTCCGTTATATTTTTCTGGGTTCCATTTATTTGAAGCTTTACGATACGCAGCATTAATTTCTTCAGTAGACGCATCGAGTTTGACATCTAAGAGTGTATAATAGTCTGTATCTTCATCCCAATTAGAGCTCATATTTTTTTTTGGAGAAAAGTAACGAATTTTATATCTAAAATTAGACAAGTCATCAATTCATATTCTGTTTAGAAAAATATAGTCTTTCAGAATTGTAAACCTTTTCCTTGAAATTTCATATCAGTTTTGCCAATTTGACACATAAGCTTTGTAAAATGACTGCAAGAACTCTTGTATTTGAGAAATGTGCAAGGTATACAACTCTTGTGGACCAATACAGATGCTGGGCTTTAGGCCTTACTAATCCTGCTAGGCAGATAAATTCAACTTTTCTCAGATGTTTATATCAAAATTGTTCAGAAAAATTCGATTATGAAAAACCAAGTTGCGCAAAAGCATGCCTTGCCATAGGAAATCCAAATTTGGATCTTTCATGCATTCCTTCTTGTTCATCTTTGCATCCGATTGACCAGGATCAATGCCTTAACTCTTGCAGAAGTTCTCATAGACTCTCACCTCTTTACGATTTCAAAAATGCATTTGAACTCTGTGAAGACTTTTATTCATTTTCTCTTTATACTGACGTTTCAAACAAAGATTTTCAACAAACTGCTGAATTTGGTTCAGCAATGAGAATTGTTTGTGCCGAAAGTTTCAATCCAATGCCTGTTTGTCAAGGAATTGCTCGAAATACAATTCAAAAAACAATTTCACTAATTCAAACTACTGACAAAGATGATTCTACTTCTTTTTGCAAAGCTATGGGATTTGTTGATTAATTTCCCTCATATTTTTCATTTTCATTTTTGTTATGTTAATAAATTATAATTGTAGTTTACTATTTATGTTTCTTAAAGACGGGTTTATTGCTGTGAACGCGAAATATTCAAAAGACTGATTTGTAATAATTTCTCGATTATTTCTCATGAAAGCTCAAAATTTTAGAAATTTAGCATTTTCATGTACAATAAATGTATATTTTTCATCTTATTACGAAAATTCAATTAATAAAAATTTGCCAATGTCGAATGCAAAAACTGAGCTTTCTGAAACAATCGAGAAACTTAGATCTTCGGATGAGAAAGTAGCTTTAGAGGGATTGAAGCAATTGCTCGTTTTGCATGCTCAGGGTGAAGATTTATCCTCTTTTTACAAAGATATTGCGCTGATCATTCCTGGTAAGAGTCCAACAATTAGAAGATATCGAAATATTATTTTAGGTGATTCATACACTGGAATAGGAACAATTTTAGCCGATTTTCAATCAGATAATTACCTTTTACAATCTTTATCTGTAAAACGCGCTGGGCTTGTTATTACAGCAGAATCTGGAGATGTTTTAATACCTATCATTTTCGAAGCTGCTGTATCAGAACACCCTCATCTTAGAGCTGCAGCTGCATTTGCGATCCAAAAATTAGAAAAGAATGATACAACTCTTATAGAACTTTACAAACTCGATCAACTCCTCATGAATCTTCTTGATGACCCAGTTATTAATGTATCTGCTAATGCTGCTTCAGTAATGATTGAAATTAACAATTCTCGAGCCAAACCACTATTTGTTTTCCCATTTAATGCTATAGATAAACTTACAAAAGCCATACTCGATGCTACAGAATGGTGTCGAATTCAAATTTTAAATTTAGTTACTGCATATCAATTCAAAGACAAAGAAGAATGCTTTAAAATCATCGAGAATATGCAACCACATTTATTTAATGCGAATAGTGCTGTTACAATTGGTGTAATTCGAAATATAATCAAATGTTTTCCGATTATAGCAGATATTCCAACAATTACATCGTATTTACAAAGTTTTATTCCTCCACTTCTTAAATTACTTTCTGCTTCCTCAGAAACAAAATTCGTCGTTTTAAGACAATTTTTAATTTTAATTCAGAACTTCAGATTATTTTTTATTGAGAATTTAAACGTCTCATCATTTTTCTGTCGCAAAGAAGACGAAAAATACATTCAACTAGCTAAATTAGAGGTTATCAAGTTATTAACTCACCCAAAGAACGTAGATACCATAATAGACGAGTTACAGAACTATGCCAAGTCCAAAAATGAATCTCTTGGCCGCGAAAGTGTCCTAGAATTAGGAAGAATTGCTGTCACTTTTAATCAATCAACTGAAAAGATAGTTTCTATACTCCAAACTCTTCTGAAAGACTCCTCAATAGTTATAAAAGACACAGCGATATCTGTTGCCATAAATATAATAAGACCAGATTTATCTCAATATTTTGAGCTCGCAAACAAAATTCTGGAGCTACCATATGATGAAATCGAGGATCAGCAAACCAAAAGTGCATTAGCTTGGCTTGCTGGCGAATGCGTGATTTATACAGAAATTCAATATTCGTATGACATCATTTCTGAGCTTGCTGAGTGCTTTATGGATGAAACCACGCCTGTGAAACTCTCAATTCTAGCTGCAATTGCTAAATTTTACATTGTAAATCCGGGAGAAAATTATAATTTATTTGCAAAAGTGTTTTCTCTGGCCACAATGGAAGAAAAAGACCCAGAAGTAAGAGATAGAGCTTATAGTTATATGGTTATCCTAGGAAAACATAAGGATATCGCTGATAGAATATTTTTCAGAAATGACACTTATAATATCGAAGTTCCTCCACTGGAAAACAAGAAGTTATCAGTAGAACTCATCAAAAATCTTGGTTCTATAGCTACAGTTCTAAGAAAATTTCCGGCCGAATTTGATAGAAGGAATAAAAGTGATGACGACATCATTTTCCCACTTCTTCTTGAACGCAGTTCGTCCTCGTTCGACTGTGAACTCCGTGGCCAGTTTATTATTGATAATAATGGTCAAAGATTCTTTGCTCTTTCCATTAAAAACATGGGTAACAATCCATTGATTCTTTTTATGGTCTCTTTTAATGTTAATACCCTTGGATTTACTCCAGCTGCTTTCACAGCGCTTCCAAAAATAGAAGCTAAGCAAAGTTCACTGACAATGATACCTGTCATCTCGAGTGCTGCATTTGTGGATAAAAATAATTTCACAAATGTCATTAAAATCGAAATGAAAGTTGATCGACCAAAAAGAATCTCATTTACATGCGAAACTCCACTGAAATTCCTGTTGGAACCAATAGAACATGGTAAAATCAATAGAGAAGAGTTTAATCGCGTATGGCCAACTCTAAATTCAAATGATGAAACATCTTTTGTAATTAGGGAGGCAAAAGTTAATAATCCGGAGAAAATCAAGTCAGAACTTGAGAAGGAAAGAGTATTCTTCTTTGCCAAGAAAGATGCTTCACTTTTCTTTTCAGGAAGAACAGTTAACGATGATTTGTTTTTCTTAATTGTTTTGATGAGCGCAGAAAACGCATGTAAGATATCTCTGCGAATGAAACATCAGGAAATGCGTTCATTGATCTTAGGTTTAATTACTGGATTATTTAAATAATCCAGTATCATTATTTGTTGTTTATTATTCTGTTTGTTTGTAAAATACTAGTATATAATGTAATTACTTAGATTTTATATACAAAAAATGTGGAATTAATTAAAGGTATAAATAGACATTTTTAAGTCAATTATAGTATTTACGGGCTTATGTTGAAATGAAGGGTGTTTGAAAATTATATGGGAGTTGATCCTAATAACAAAAATTTTTATTTTAGTCGGCAGTTGCAACATGTACTACCTGATTTCCTCTAATAAAAATGCTTTGGTATTTCCCAACTTCATTACCATTTGACATTTCTACTGCATCGCGAAGAACAAGATTGAATAATGCATCTATAGTGCAAAGAGTGCCTATTAATTGGGATCCGGTTGATAGAACTACATGTGTTGGCTTTTGGAGGGTTGCTTGTAGAAATCCAGTCATTGCATCTTCAGCAGACATTGGTCAAGATTTTTTGACAACGATTATTGTAAAGTCAAAATTGAATTTTTTACAAATCATTTGAGGTTACACTTACTACATTCTGGCACCCTTAAGGCCTTAATGTACTTATACAACAACTTTATAGTTCCCAGTGGTCTAGAAATCCTATAATTAACTGAATATGGCATAGTTCTTCCGAAGTCTCTCATTTGATGAGATGACTCAGAAAAATAATATTTTAAGCTAGTTTGCTTGTAGTCTACGACTTTCAAAAGGCCATATTATGTAAATTTATTTGAATCTAATGAGAGACTTCAGAAGAAATTTTCCCTAATGCCATGTTCATACAATTCTTTGTCCACATGGAGCCAATGAAATAAAGAATGATTTATGAATGAGAAATCCTTTGCATCTTTATCCGCTCCAACATAGATAAGATAATTAATAACTTCAAGATGACCATTTTGTGATGCATGAATGAGTGGAGTTTATCCATCCATCCTTTGCTTCTTTATCAGCTCTAACAGAGATAAGATAATTAACAATTCTACAACAGAGATAAGATAGTTGTGCACAAAAGAGTGGTAGAGCTAAAGATTCTACTTGCATATATTTACCATCCTGTATAAGAGATTTAATAAGTTCGAGATTTCCTTCTTCGAATGCATTAAAAAGTTTTATTGGTTTTGGGTCAAATGACTCTCAATTTGAAAACGTTTTACTTCCAAATATTTTATCTCCTTGTGAAATGAGCACAACACCAATAACATGCTTTGCATCGATTATACATTAGCAAGGAAACTACCCAGAAGTTGTTTGACGAACCTTTTCTTCATCCCGAAAAAAAAAATTCTTACAGAAGGACGTAACTTTATTCCCCATTGGTACATACGTTAAGATTTCGGTTCCACATGATTGTTGCATATACTTAGAAAGAGTGGCTAATGAGGAGTAAAAACATATATACATCTTATAAGAAATAATATAACATTTGTCTTCATAATTTTCGAATTTGACTATAGTATAGTTTAAAAATGATATATGTTAACTTTACTATCATGATAAATAATTATATTTTAAAAATTGTTTGATAAATTATTCGTTTTTTTAGCTTTATGTAACAATTTCTAAGGTAAATAGTTAATATAAATCACTTTGCAGCATCTAATATGGAACTTGTTGATTTTTTGGTTGAGAATAATAGTGAGAGGTTAATGTACTTATAAGTTTAATTGAGTAATGATACAAATAAATCATAAATCATTATACATAAAATTGCAGAAACTCTGTTGTATAACATTCAAATTTTATCATTTATAATAATGTGAATAAAATTGTATCATTTGTTTTCTATCATCTTGTTCTTCTTTAAGTTCTTTCCTCAATTCATCTATTTTTTGTTTAGTTTTATGATATTCATTAGTAATTGTTGGAAGTAATTTGAGGATATATTGGTTAATAGATTCGTTTGTAAGATCTGTTTTGTTGTTAAAACTAAAATAACAATGAAGAATTTTGATTTTTGTTTCGAATTTTAATTGAGATGAATCAATTAAAAGAATCAAGTTGAAGAATAATGAATGACTATCAATTAAACATGAAATAAATTCATTGAAATCGATTGATTGTTCAAGACATGATAGAATAATCTTCTCTGAAAAATCATATCCTAAATAATTACATGTTTCGACTAACTTGTCAATTCCGATGTTGTATATGTTTTGTGAAACAAATTTGATGAATTCGTCTTTTGCATCAATGTATTTGCAATATGTAACGTTCTTGTCGAAGTTTTCTAATGAATATTTAAAAAGTTCATACTTTTCATAATAAAATTCTAATAAATCTGGACATTCGATAGACAATGCAAATTCAAACAAGTCTGCATTAATACTTTCTGGCAAATCGTTGCTTATCAATTGACCTTGAAAAAGATCTTCAAGAATTTTATAAGTTCCTTGATCTTTGATGCTACAATTGAATTTATAGATTTTAGAAGCGTTCCCACAGTATAAGTTGTTCTGTATTTTATTGCTAATACATGAAAGGAAGAAAATTGTAGATTCAAATTTATGATTGTTAATTATAATAGTGATTGCATAATTGCTTTTATTATGTAATGTCGAAAAGTTCTTGAATGCTTGTTTAAATTAGATAACAGACATAGAAGATGAAAGATAAAAACAATTTTTTTTGCAATTGTCAATTTTGTGACTTTAGATTTTGGCACTTTTGCAGGACCTAAAATCTATGAATAGTTTTGATTTTCTCCATAACCTTTTCAATGACATCCGTTCTGGTGATAACAATAGGATTGGCCAGGCTACAGGAGAAATATTAGAGTTCTTAAAAACTAAAGAAGAAGCAATTCAAATTTTATTTATGCTCTTGCAAACAGATAAGAACGATATTTACCTCAAATATGCTTCAATTTTCCTTCATTCAGAAATTCGCAAATACAAATCTACATTTGATTCAACTTTTATTTCAGAATTACAAAATCAATTTTGCCAAACTATAATTTCAATTCAAAACGACCATGTCGTACGCATGCTTTGCGATGATGCCGCCCTTATGGCTATTGATGGCACAGAATTTGGACCAATTCCAAATTTGATTCAACAATTGATACAAAATGCAAATACAATATCGACAAGTTTATACCTAATATCTCAAATTGCGATAAATACCAGCTTTGATGAAGAATTACCATTCATTTCTGAATTATTAAGTCAAATTTGCGAATTTGCCGTACACTCTGAGAGAAATATCAGGATTGAAGCAATGAAATTGTTATCTGTACTGATTTCCAGACCTTACATGGACGATATCGATGAAACAGGAATAATTGGAAATATAATTCTAAATTCATTAAATTTATGCTTAACTTATATGAACACTGATGAAAGCCTTGCTGTTATGGAGCTAATTAAATCAGTTTCAATGTTCTCTCTTACTTCTATCGATGAATATGAAAATCAATATCTCGAAATATTGATTAACATCATGAACAACAGCGAGATCATCATGGAAATCAGAATATATGCCTGTCTAGCCTACATCGAAGCAATCAAAGCAAGCATTGATGAGATACAAGATGAATTACCACTATTAGTTGATAAAATCTTTGATTTGGCCGTAGAAATATATTTGTATGACCCATATGGCGGTTTTTATAGAATCACTGACCAACTAATTACGATGCTTAGTGAAAGTGACGTATTAAATTCTCCGCAAGAGGAAGAAGAAGGTTCAAATAGCTTGAGCGACTACATATTCATGAAAAGTCATGAATTCATCACCGATGAACAAGAAAATGACCTTAGATTTGCAAGAATTTTGGTTGGATTGTCAGCAATTAACTTTTTGATATCAGCAGATACTGAATTAATATACCAGCATGAACAAGAGATCATTGATTTTGTTGTTAGTGGCATACAAACAGGCGAAGAAGAGATAATTGAAAATTGTGCTGAAATTGTCATCACAATTTGCAATTGTATACCTGATAATTGCGCAGAATACATCGGAGTCCTCACTCCTTTACTCCTTTCCAATCTACAAGTGAACCAAGTATTGAATAGTTTGTCATCCCTCTTTGACAGCTCTTCTATCCCTCCTCCGAACATCGAAGAGGTCTTAGATATGCTCATACAGTCATTATCTGTACTCCCCAAGGAGCTACAAGGCGATATTTTGTTTGTTATCGCATCTGCCCTTTCAAAATGCTCTTCTTCTGCAGGACAATACTACGAGAGGATCAAATCAGTTCTCCACGAAGCAATAAATGAAGATTCTTATCTCAGAAGTGGCGCAATTCGCTGTTTTTCAATTTTTGCTTCACAATCTCCGGCATTTTTGCAGGGAGACCTCGATTCTATAATAGATCTCATCATACAGATACTCCAGGAAGATGAAATAGATAACAGAATCACTTCAAATAACTGCATTTGCTCAATTGCTTCAAATTTCCCATTATCCATAGCTCCAAAGATCGAAGTAATCGCAGATTCGTTGATATCGCAACTCAGTTATGAATACAAACCAGATGAAAATGAAGAAACAATAGCACAAATGATGGATGATAATAATTCAACGGAAGAGATGTCAAAAGAAGACTTGCGTACAATGGAAATCAAAAATATGAAGAATTCAGCGCTTAGTGCTCTATCAATTCTTTCTCTTTACCTTCCAGAACAAATGATAGAAATTATTGATGGAGTAAGACAGATGTTTTTCGATCTTTTTGATACCGCTAATAATGAATTACTTGATTTGGTCTGCTCTTGCCTTGTAAATATCGCTGAGGGCTTCATGAAAGTTAATTCTGATGTTTTACCAATTTGTCACTTTTTGATCGAAAATTTGAATGGAAATTCTTCAGCAGATTGTGAGGGTTCAGCGACCATTTTAGAGGCAATCACGAATATATTGACTATTGGTGGCAGACAGCTAGTAGAAGTACTTTTAAACGATATTCATGCGATTTTATTCCCGATTTTAAATTTGGAAAGATCTAAATGGACAAAGAAAGGAGAAGTCGCACCATTATTATACCAATCATGCCTGGCATGCTATGAAACAATTATTGAGTCATTAGGAAGCGATTGCGTTGAATTTGCTTCTCAATACTCAGAATTAATACTTCAAACAGCCATATCTAACAAGAACTCGAATGTTTATGCTGCACACGCTATTATAAGACTTGCAGAACAGATAAATAATAGCGATTTGGCACAAAAAGTTCTTGATACACCATTGAAAGTACTAAAGAAGCCAAATATAGAGAAGAAAGTCATTTCTCTGCAATGCCTGTCAATTTCCTTCCGTTGTTTCCCAAGTTTGTTTGGAATTTCGGAAAATTTCATTTCTCAACTAGTCCAAATGATCATGGAAACGCTACAGTCATTACAGGAAAACGGTGAATCAAACAAATTGGTTGAACAGATGATAGAAACAGCGTTTGTTCTGTCAATTTATGTTAATTCTCAACTTTTTAGCCATCAAACGCTTTCTGAAATGGTTTCAAAGCTGGTGTCAATGCATGAAATCAATTGCATACAAACATTGTCTAGTTTTGCTCTGTTTTGCATGCAGAATGGTTTTAATGAAGTAATTGAGAATAATTTAATTAATATTTCGTTGTTGACATTCTCTTCTGAGGATTATGACTTCAGAAAGGTCCAAAATGATGCAAAAGTAGCTCTAAAACCAATTGCAGAAGCAGCAATTTCAAATGGAAACATCGAAGTCCTGAAAGGAAACGAATATAAGTATCAGAAATTAGAGGCAAATATCTTATCATGTTAATTTTATTTTTATAGAGTATAAATAAACAAATCTTTCTTAATCAAATTCATTTCTGTTTTGTATTTTTAATTTGAATCCTGTTAGATTTTAATTTTACCAAAAAATTCAAAATGATCTGTGTATAGAAGCCCAGTGTCATAAATAGATTTCAATCTAAATCGTATATAACGATAAAATGGTGATTTAGAACAGACCCATGTATGAATAGGTTTTTTGTAGTTTATATCAGTGTTACTTGGTTTATTATCAATCATTTGCCAATTATTAAAATCATTACTTCCTTCAATTGCAAAATCTACTGGTTTGTCCCAATAGGCACTATTATCATGTGCTTTAATTGTATAAGCAGAAAGAGAAACTTTTTTACCTTTGAAATCAAATATTACGGAATTGTTTTCTATTTCTTGTAAACCCCAACAATGATTCTTTTTTGAATATTCAAATAAATCAGAACTATTCCCACTGCTACCATTTGACGTTGTAACAGATATTGCACCACAAGTAAGCGGATTTTGACCATTATTTATATTTCTTAAATATGAAAATATTCCATCATATTGATTTCCTGAATAACTGACAATTACCTTTCCATCTCCAATTTCTTTTCTCAATTTATCTATTTCTTGCTTTGCTATTTCTGCTTCTTTTTTCATTTTATCATTTTCTTGCTTTGATATTTCTATTTCTTTTCTCAATTTATCTATTTCTTGTTTAGAGATTTCTTCTTCTTTTCTCAATTCATCATTTTCTTGCTTTGATATTTCTATTTCTTTTCTCAATTTATCTATTTCTTGTTTAGAGAATTCAGCTTCATTTTTCAATTCATCTATCTTTTGTTTAGTTTTATGATATTCATTAGTAATTGTTGGAAGTAATTTGAGGATATATTGGTTAATAGATTCGTTTGTAAGATCTGTTTTGTTGTTAAAACTAAAATAACAATGAAGAATTTTGATTTTTGTTTCGAATTTTAATTGAGATGAATCAATTAAAAGAATCAAGTTGAAGAATAATGAATGACTATCAATTAAACATGAAATAAATTCATTGAAATCGATTGATTGTTCAAGACATGATAGAATAATCTTCTCTGAAAAATCATATCCTAAATAATTACATGTTTCGACTAACTTGTCAATTCCGATGTTGTATATGTTTTGTGAAACAAATTTGATGAATTCGTCTTTTGCATCAATGTATTTGCAATATGTAACGTTCTTGTCGAAGTTTTCTAATGAATATTTAAAAAGTTCATACTTTTCATAATAAAATTCTAATAAATCTGGACATTCAATAGACAATGCAAATTCAAACAAGTCTGTATTAATACTTTCTGGCAAATCGTTGCTTATCAATTGACCTTGAAAAAGATCTTCAAGAATTTTATAAGTTCCTTGATCTTTGATGCTACAATTGAATTTATAGATTTTAGAAGCGTTCCCAGAATATAAACTATTCTTTACTTTATTGCTAATGCATGAAAGAAATATTAAATTTGACTTAAAGTCTTTCTCGTTAACTATGATATTAATAGGGTAATTGTAACTTAGGGAAAGAGTAGCGATATTCCCAAGAGCTTTCTCCCATTTGATTCTAGACATAGGAAAAGGAAAAAAAGATTTGTCAAATATTATCTGAAAAAACCGTCAGAATTGATGAACAAAGTCCCGCTTCAAGTTCCAGTTCTAGCAAATGATGATTTTGAACCTTTTTGCGATATGAAGGTCGTTAAGACTCTTGCATATCTAGAGAACGTCGTAGACTCTGTTTTTTCCACGATTTCTAATAGAATCAAAGAAGAGCAGAACCGCGTTTCAAATCTGAGTTCTAGAATTGCTAATGCTCAAGAGGCCATGGTTCGTCTCAACGATCCCTCTAAAGTCGTCACTGTTTTCACACCATTGAAGTTCTGCTGCGGTGATGAGCCACCAGCATATCATCCAATTTCACAATTCATTCAGCCAAAGCAACCAGAATACGTTACAGGAAAGTCTGTTGTTGTCACAGAAGCTCTTACAAACACAGTTTATGGCGAAGATCAGAACTTCATCTTCAAAGCCGAGCCAATTGTTCAGAGAGATCAACTTCGCAGTGCTGGACTCGGCAGATCACCAGAATATATCAACTCAACATCTTCTCTTCTTCTTTTCCACACAAACGAAAATCCTTACAGAGATACGATTGGCATTGATAACCTCGAAGGCAAGATATCCAATTTCGAAGAAGAAAAAGTCGTTCGTTCCATTCCAAATGCTCCAGATTCGATCAATACGATTTCCTTCTTGCCAGAAATCGATACTGGTGGATTTGCATTCCTTCCAAACATCGACAATATCCCTACCTTCGATCTTCCTACAAACCTGCCAAATCTTGGAAACATTGCCGATCTTGGCATTAATCTCGATACAAGCGCATTTGACTTCTCGCCATCAGACTTTATGATGACAGGAGGTTCAGGATTTACAGCTGGCGGTGCTCCACCTGACGGATCAGCTCCACCACCACCTCCATCAGATGGAAGCCTTCCTCCACCTCCTCCGCCTCCTCCAGGTGCTCCAGGAGGAGGAGCTCCACCGCCTCCACCACCTCCGCCACCTGCAGCAGCTGGAGGAGCAGGAGTTCCGCCACCTCCTCCACCTCCGCCTCCGCCAGCCAATTTGCCACCTCTGCCAAGCCCAGATATCAAGTTGTCTTCTGCAGAACAGGACGTTAGGTCTACATTCCTTGATCTTATCAAGAGTCCGAATATCAAACTGAAGAAAGTCAACAGAGATGAACCGCCTAAGCCTGCAAAGCCAGCGGCAACATCTACAGGCGACGACTTCAGAGATCAGCTGTTCGCAAGAATCGCAGCAAGAAGAATGGTTATGGCCGGACAAGATGTTCCAGCAAGACAAGTTCAAAAAGAAGAAAAGAAGGCAGATGAACCAGCCGCTCAACCAGGAAATACAATTTCTACTCCAATGGGTGAATTCCAAGTTAAGGCTCAATCTTCTGATGATGAAACAGACTCCTCGTCATCTTCAGATTGGGATAACTAAGGGAAGTAAAAATCTACTTTTCCTACCTCAAAAATATTCATTTTACTTTGAATCGTATTTTTAATTTTCTAAATTCTGAATGACTCTTGTAATCCTCAATGAAAAAATGGCACAGAGATCTAAATTGTCAATAAATGAAACCTCGACAATTGAAATTCTTTTGAAAGGTTGTTTTACAAATTTAGACCGTACATTTAAATATATACATTTGCGGCATATTAAATGAATATTAATTTTTGCCTCAAAATTCTAGGGGAATGAAAAATCTCCGATGAGCGATCATTTTTAAAATTTATTAAGGATACCCTTACATTGCGTAGTTAGAAAGAGAATATGATATTGTCATGATTGCTAAAGTTTTAGGCTCCAGAAATGAATATACATCAAACTGAAACAATTGATAAATTGAATGAACTTTTGAGAGGTTCTCAAATAAAAAAAATTATCTAATTTTTTACAATATTACTATTATTTTATCCACATATGTATATATAGTAATTTGAGAAAACTTTTAGGAAAAAATAAGTTTAATAAAAATCTGAATTTTACTTGTTGTGGGATTGTTATTAATTGACACTCCAGACGTATTACTAATAGTTATGCGTATGCAATTAAAGTATTTCTGATGGACAAAATGTGAGATTTATATCAGATAATTCATTTCTACTATTAAGTTATTCATTTATGAGTTTGCACTTATTCGCACTAAATAAATAACTATTAAAATTGTTTTAATTAATTGACACCATATAATAGAGTGAATTTTGTTTGATCAAACAACAATAGATGATAGATATAAAGCCAAGAAACTTGCTATTAATATGCTCTACTTGCTATTTCAATGTAAGTATGATTTTTCTAAATGTTTCGTTCAGATAACTTAGATATATTAGTCAAAATTTGAAATTTTAATAGCCATATATTAAAAATAATTATTATTCATAAAAGATTAATGAAATAGTAAAAAAATCAATCAAATTATAAAAATACAACATTTAGAAGAATTCTTATTATCCTTCAAAAAGTCAGTATTTCTGCTGTAATTTTCTACAACATTGTAGTTATTGCACTTTGTCTATGGATTTGTATATATGTTATATATAAATTATATATCTAAACTGCCCATAAGTGCAATTTTTATATAAATTGTTTATTTCTTTAACAATTTCATATGAATTATGCTTTTTTAAGCGTATCAAAGCTGTGTTCTTAATGTGCATGGATATATCAAGAAAAATGTCGAAAAAAAATGTGAATTCACAAATTCACTGAATTTTCACCGTTTTTTTGAATTTTGCTACAGCACTAATATTAAATAATACTAAAATCTTCTGTCTTTGTAAAAGAATAAATTCTGACAAAAAGTGCTCGTTTAAATTTAATGATCATCTGTATGACTAAGTGGTAAAAAGTGTTTATGACCAAAAAAGGGTTACATGCTTAGTCTATTTTTCTGACAGGATACTCTAGATTTACATGATCTCTATTTCATATCTCCGTTTTTAGATTCTTCGACAGATTTTATGATAGAAAACCAAGATTAACAAATTTCCGGCATGTTAATGAAGAAATCTGCAGCTACCCTCAATATTATTTCAATAATCAGTATCGTTTCTCTTACAATTTATTTTTTTCTCAATAATTTAACAAGAAATAACAATACACACTTGGTTTTACGTATAAAGCTAAGTGTCGAACTTAATCAACTTTACTTACTTAGCAAATGAATATTTTTGTGGTTGCGAGTTCTGAATGCTGAAGTTTTAGATTTCTCTATAAATGATATCATTGCACTTACAATGTTGTTCCAGCCTATCGCATAAATCATAGAAAATCCAAAAAAATAATATAAAGAAAATTCATGTCATGAAGTTCAAAAAATACCGTGTAACATTAAAATTTGTTATGCATAATACATTTTAGCTATTATTATTTTTTTTAATTTTCGAGAAATTGAATGGTGAGTCCGATAGAGAAATTTTTAAAAATCCTAGTGCCTCATAGAAGTAATTTCCCTCGTCTCCCATACTTCCAAATGTATGCATATTACATAAACTTTTATGCATTACACAAGTGGCCAATAATATCTATAGAGTAAAAAATTAGAAATTTAATTTTTTTATATGATAGTTATATTTCAGATTTGCGAGCGTAACTTTTTTCTCCATGGCATACTTGTTTTAAGAGCAAATGATCAAAATCGTCCTTCAATTATTGAAGGAGCTGATATCTTTTGAAAATTGAATTGAAAGGGTATTCAATTTTCAAATTTCCTCTCAATTTTGGAAACATATCAACTCTATGAATTAACAATTATGTGCCTTCACAGTTTATCAGTCATATAAGGTGCTTATAAAGAAAAAAGTTACGCTCGCAAAATATGTTTTTATATAGATTTCACATAAAATAATTATGTAATTTCTAAAAAGAATATTTTTGTTCTTGAATATTAAAGTGTATTGTAGTTTAAAAAGTTTTAAATATGTTGCTAAAATTTCAGGTTTATAGCTCATGTCTAGCATGACTTCTTTGTATGCGCAAAAAATCTGACACGTAAGGGTATCCTTAATGTGATTAAGGGTTTCGTTTTGCTAAAATTGTCACTTTTATAGCATATTTGTTTTTGGATGTTTTGCGAAACCAAAAAAAAACTATGATATACAATGTGTGTGTAAAGAAAATACTTTATTTACTAGTTAAAAAATCATTTGGTATTGATCAAAGGTAACTAAACTCCTTTCGCCGATCCGATTTGCTCCATATTTAAAATATAGCTTGCATATGTAGAAGAAAAGCTAATTTTGAAGTACGCCCGAAATCCACCAACAGGATTTCGAGCTACTAAAAAGGTACTTTTAAATGTGATTTTTTTTATAAAAAATTAAATTTATTTTAAGATCAGACTAAAAACTAATTTCATGGAAAATCTATATCGACAAATTTATTACTTATTGGGTATATAGATTTTTTGATTATGGCGATTATGTCTGATATGCTTCCAATAAGCCAAAACAGTGTTTTGGGAGTGATTAAATACAAAAAAATCTGGCGATGCTTTACGTGGCAAATGGTCGAATGGTTATTACCCCTTACTATTTGGTACCGGGGACGCTAGTTCGAAACTGATGCACTATAATTTTTTACAAAATGCGTTTATTAGAACAGGGTAAAGAAAGGTTGCCAATATAATATATTTAAATAAATACAACTAATCTAGCATAAAAAAAAAAAAAAAGGTAGTGGGGCCTCCAGGCACTTCGTGCCCTCTAGCCCTGAAGATGTTTAGTATAATGAAGTTTTTTTTTTCTTGGGATGGCCTTCCAGGCACTTCGTGCCCTCTAGCCCATAAAAAGTTTAGTATAACTTTGTCCGGACAAGTAAGGGTCTATCGTCGCTACAGGAAAAGTTACTGGCGTTCCAAGGAAGTATACTTTGAGAAGCCTTTTCCCCCTTATAGAATGAGATAGGACGGTTATTTTACAAAACTGACAACACTTTGACCGAGTAGTTTTGTGCTGAACAAAAAGTGTCATATAAACATCTGTCAAAAACCGTTTTTTACTTCACTTAAAATGCCACGTAAGCTACGTAAGAATATACGTAAGAGGAAGGGAGCATTGAAACATCCAATAGTAAAACTGACACCACAACAACAGTTGCAACAACAAATGATGAATGACCCCACTATGTTGCAACAAATGTCAAGCAACCCTATGCTTTTAAACCGAGTTATTGGTGCACAGAGTGGAGGTTTAAGAGCGGCACTTTTAGCGAAAATGGCAGGCTATGGTGGAGCTGCAGACGGAACAGCTTATAACCCTCAAAGTCAAATGAATTTGAGTTCACTCAAAAATCAAATAACAGATGTCAAAAAGTCAAACATAGACATACAGAAACAAATAAGTGAAAACGAAAAGAAACTAGAATATGACAGACACACAAAGAAACTCAATGAGTTAAACGTAGAGAAAAGAAGAAAGAAGAACAACTGAAAGAACTAAGTACAGAGGAATATGCGAAAAAAGTGTCAGAAAAAGCAGCAGAAGTAGCAAAAATGGAACAAGATGTTATAAATTGAAAAACCATACTACTCAATATAAAGTACTGAAAGATGAAGAAATAAAACAAAAAGCCCTGAAGACATATATGGATAGCGATGAGTATAAAAAAGAAGTTGAAGCAAATGTAAAGGCAGAAAAACTTTTACAGTTGCAAAACCAAACCGTACAGTATGAAAACTTAGCACAAGAAAGTAAAAATAACGACGCAGCCATGCAAAAGGCAATGAAAAGCGCAGAATATATAAAAGCTAATAATGACTGGTTAGATGCCCAAGCCAACGCTAAAGCAGCCCAACTTATAGGGTCAATAAGGACAAAAATACAAGCGGATGAAGACAGTTCAAATGAAGCTTTAATGAATGCTGACTTTAAGAACGCCTTCGAAGCTCTTCATAGTAAGGTGAAACTAGTGAACGACTTCTCATCTGGAAAGAAACTGAAGTCTGAAGGTTTCGACAAAGAGTTAAGAGAAGTGCACAAAATATGACGAAAATAACAGATGCAGCAACGAGACAGGCAGTTCAAAGTGCCTATGACGCCGTTAGAGCAACTGTTGTGGAAAGTCAAGAAAAAGAGTTACAACAGACCAAAACAGACCTAGTAAATGCTTTCTTAAAAACGAAAAGTCAGGTAGGACATTATGCTGCAGATGGAACATATGTGCCAGCTGGTGGAACTTATATACTAGCTAGTGGAACTTATATACCACCAAACCCTCCAAGAGAAGCACCTGCACCAGGACTACCTAAAACATTTACATCGTCACATGGACACAGACACAGGCATGCACCAAAACCAACAGTTCAAAACACTGCACAGCAACCAACAGTTCAAAATCCAGCACCACAACCAACAGTTCAAAACACTGCACAGCAACCAACAGTTCAAAACACTGCACAGCAACCAACAGTTCAAAACCCTGCACAACAACAACCACAA